AATGCTTTTTATTATTTTCAATTTTGTTATTTGTTGAAATTCAGTTTAAATATTCGCAGAGACTTGAAATTTGGACACAATACTCATGTTTGCTTTTACTAGACGTGATCAAATTTTCCAAAAATTTTAGCCATTTTTGAACTATTTGTAGATATTTTAATTTTGCAACTTTTGTAGTTTTGTTGGTCATTTTTATTCGGTAGGTATTCTTTGGTAAAATTACTTAACTAAACAAAAATTCTTGAAAACTCAACAGTAGATTCATTAAAAGTACTACCTTACTGTGTGGCCAAAAAATAAAAATTTGAGTTTAGTATAGTATTTATTTTTATAAAAAAATGTTGATATCAAATTTTGACGAAAATCGTTTAAGTAAAAAATTATGTGGAAAAAATCTAATTTTTCAATTTTATGCTTTAAACATAAATATATTACCGAGTTAAGACTGATGGTAAATTGGTGTAATGAAGTTTATAAACTTCAATATCAAATGATTCATCCCGAATTCCAACATCAACCGATAGTACTGATTTTAGATTTATCATTATTTTGATTTATGACTAGGAGCAGTAGTGGGCTGAACTCACATCTTAGACTCTGATAGTGGAGCGAGGAATATATTGGATTTTTCTGTGAATAACTTTTCTACCAGACATTTTATTTGAATTTTCAAGTATATCATTTTTTCTGAAAGGAAATATTATCTAGATTCTACTTTAAGGAAGGAAAGAGGGAATTATTTATTAATTTTTCAAGCGGTTTCCATAATAATTAGTAAAAACCAAAATAAAAACGGAAAAATGTATTAAATGTATTATTTTCAATTTTGTTTTAGATTCTGAGTGTAGCGAATTATTATTTTTTTTTTTTTTTACGTAAACACTTTTTCTACCAGAAAGCTTAATCCGATGTAAACGATGAAGACCCTTTTCTGAAACAAAATTTTCTCACGGTGGTACGATGGTTAAGCATGTCATTTTTCGATTTTCTAAGGAGTTTTCTCATTAAATGTGAAAAACCGAAAAAAAACAGGAAAATATACGAAATATATTAGCAAAATAGTATAATTATTTTTTCTGTGGAAAAATAATTTTTACCAGCAATTTTATTTTAACTTACAGTAATAGCTTTTTTCAGAAAGGTGAATACCGGGGAAAAACATAAGAAAACGGGAAAATCGGTAAAATTATATTAAAAAGATTTTATTAAAGAAAATATATAATGCCTATTTAATTATTTTAACATAATATGACATATATATTGTTAAAAAATTATCACTTTCAACTGAACCCAGCTTATAATCGTTATTAGTAAGCAATGGTTTATCGTTGCTTATAGATACAAATATCCTACCCACCAAACTTCGCACCAACAACAGTGGCTGCATCCATCGTGTGAAATATGTCCGTCTTTATACTTTTGATTCAGTTTAAAATATTCGTAGAAACTTGAATTTTGGACAGAAAGCTTATATATTTACCATTTCTAGACGTAATAAAATGCTTAAAGCATTAGAATCATTTTTGAGCCGTGTATAAACATTTTAAGTTGACCAGTTTTTATTTAATTTTTATTTGCTAGGTACTAGATAAAATTATTAGACTACACAGGCATGCTTGAAATGTTTTCAGGAGTTTCATTTTAAGTCGTACTAGTACTAAGTGGTCAGAAAAAAAAATGAGTGTTATATGGTATTTTATACTCTAAGTGAAGCGAAGAAGCTAATAGTTATTTGTGATGATATTATGATATAATGATATTTATTTATTATTATTACTTTTTTTTTACCTGTGAACAACTTTTCTACCAACAATTTTGCTCCGATTTACAATGATAGCCTTTTTTCGGAAAGGAAATTTAACTGGAAAAATACTTTAGGGAGGTCACTTTTTAATTTTTTCAATATGTTAGAAAAACCGGAAAAAATGTAGGAAAACGGGAGAAAGCGAATATAGGTACAATATAAAAAAATATTTTATCAATAATAATTGACGCATATGTAATTATTTTAACATAAATAATGTTTTTACAAAGCAACACTATCAACTGAACTACGCACAGAAGTGTTTTCTCGTTAGCAATAGTTTATATCTTTGTGCCTAGTGCCTAATTAGGTATGTATAATATTATTTTGCTTTTAGATTCTGAGTGTAACTTATAATTTTCTTAATATGTATTTTTTTTTCGGAAAACGCTTTTCGTCTTCAGTAAAATTAATCACAATTTTCATGCCATAGCTCTTAGGTACTAGTTAAGTATAGGTACTTTATAAGATGCAGATATTTTTACTACATGATGATATCTCACATGTAAACATTTTTGGAAATACGCAATCATTTTTCAAAAAGTTGCTTTCTATTATTATTTTTATTTTTTTGATAATACACATTTCACACAATATATAAAAATGAATTTCCGCCCGGTAGTACAATTTATTTGAGATTTTTTTTTTTAAATTCTTAGCAGTTTTTCTGAAAAACTGACAATAGTTAATGACGAAACGTTGGTTTTATTTAATTTGTTGATTCCTTGGCTACCTTGGTTTTATAATAGCAAAAACACGAAATAAACCAAATCTACCGCAAACTCCAATGAGAATTGTTTTTTGATTTAAATGATTGATCACTACCTTCGTTCATTTTATACAAAATTGATTACCCTACATCCAATATCTGTCCGACTTTCCACCTACAACGGAGGCATTGGTTTTACCTGTTGGTTTAAATATTATACAACTATATACAATAGATATAAATTTAATGTACAATTTATTATGCTATAGGTAAGTAAATAAAAACAAATTTCAAATTTATCAATGTTGACATAATCAGCTGATAAACACTATAGGCACATGACTTTTGTATCCTATACTCGCATATTTGCATAATATACTCGTATTATGAGTTGTAATTTACGACATGAATGTGAAATATTTATTGATTTCTACTTGTATAAATGATGATTTGAGAAAAATAGGCATTTTGAATTATTGTACATTGGCCACAACAACGAACGGTCACAGGCCGGTAAACACAAAATATCGTTCGCACAACGTTAAAAGCGGATCTCTTATTTTTTGTTTTAAGTACTAATGAATTTGGTCAGTTTATTAAAAAAATTTTGATACCTACTTGCTAAACGAAGAATTACGGCATAAAAACCGTTTTGTTGTCATACGTGAGGCGAGTGAGTGGATTATAATAACTAAAAAGCGATACTATGTGTTTTTAACGTCGTTTATAACGCCGTAAATTTATCAGTTTTCATTCAGCTTTTTCCGATTTTTCTTAATTATTATGAAAACTACTTGAAAAATCAAAAACGAATTACTTACTCACCAACTAGAATAGAAAATGCAACAAAAAAGGTTGCTTATCGATTTTCTATTGAAGCAATATTTCTGGTAGAAAAAGTGTTCACATAAAAAAAAAAATAATAATAATAAACATCATTGTAAAACCAATACGTTCCTCGCTCCACTCAGAATCTATAAACGCAAAAATAAAAATACACGTATCATAGTAAAATCAATAGAATATATAGAACAGATCGATCGCTATACGCTCCGAATCTAGAAGTTATTGAGCTGATACTGCTGATGCCATTACTGTTATGGGTGGGAAGTTAGGATAGGATACACAGACTTGAGTAGGTAATTAATTTACATCTGTAAGCAACGGTAAACCATTCTGAGCGAACTTCTGTAACCTATATCTGCATATTATTTTGAAACACCGTAATTTGTACGATTTTTTTAAACATTTTATCTTAATAGTCCATATAACGAAAAAAAAAACCAACACATTACGGTCAATTCGTTTACATTTTGAGCGAAGGGTTGTAGTAGTTTTTTTTTTTTGTTTATAAAATTCGAATTTAAAATGTAAATTCAAATTTTGACGAAAATCGTAAATAGCGCTGCGTTTCAAAACATGTTTAACTGAACTTGGAAAAATTTGAACATTTTGCCTTTTTTTCGTTTACTTTTCCATGGTACGTCATTGTTATCGCTCTGTATAGTGTGTATACCCGTCGTGCATGCGTTTACGAGCTAGTAAATAGATAATTTTTATTTTCCAAACTCGTTTATTAAAAATTGTACAATAAACCGTAAAATGCTTATCGGCAATTTTGATTTTTTTTTTTTTTTTTTTTAAATCCACTTGTGTAATAAAAATATAATAGGAACCTAATTATAATATTATACAAATACCGATGCCCGTCAGTTATCGTTTTTTCTTATCGACTCGAATATTATTGTCGTAAACGTTATTACCTATGAATACCTAGGTGTACAGGTAGAGTGACTCGTTTCAATGAATTCTAATCAATTTAATTGAACTAAAAATAATTAACCTACCTATCTACCTGTTGAATACCTACGAATCGACTAGTCGCCTATTATTTCAGAACAAAAATCAACACGTTTCCGAATAAAAATCAAAAACGCAGGAAAGTCGACTTTACGTCACATTACTATGTTATTCAAATATGTTTTGCTTTGTCGAATCGATCGGTACCTAGGCAGGCATACGGGTACGCCGTGTCGGACAATAATCAGACAAACGGGAAATTACCGACGCGGCTTTTGCTCCACAATCGTCGCGTCGACGGACTTTGCGCAGTGTTCGATTTTCGTTTCCGGGTTCCGATACTCGACGAGCCGACACACTCGCAACACTCGGCGACGGCGACCGACGAGCGCGCACGGGCGCGCGCCGCGGACGTGCTGCCGTCGTGCCATTATCAGCGCGCGCACGCACACAACGACTCGCATTTCTCACGGTAACGCTGATAACGGCACGGCCTTCGCCTCTCCGCCGTCGTACGCCAATCGCGATTGATACTACGGTCGACCAGCTGCGGGCTGCTGCTTGTTGCATTTTCGCCCGTCCGTTGCGTCATTCTTGTCTGCCCGTCGCGTGTGACATTGCCGTACGACTCCGGGACAGTTTACACATTCGTGCCGAACGACTACCAATCGCCCTCACACCGACACGATGGCGCTGTGCAGACTCGTGGGTATCTCCAACGAAATGTCGTTGATCAACGTCAAGCGGGCCCTGACCACGGGTACGTATCGTTATTATTTGTTAATAACAGCGTTTAACCAAAGTATATTATTGTTGGGTACGCGTTACAGTGGACTTTGTCGTTATCCCGAGTCTCGGCACGATCGTACATTTACATTGTGATAATCGTCGAATCACTTCGTGTCCGCCGTTTTAGGTTTTCCAAAGAGACGGGTTCGGAACCACCGGATTTCGGTTTTTTTTTTTTTTTTTCGTCCGAAATACCGATTTTTTACGTATTGCGAGTTTTTCAATTCCATAGGTAGCAGATATATTTTCACCTTATATTTAAACCACTGTTCCCAATCTTGTACTTTTTACAATTTTCTAAAATGACCGTCGCCAATACACATTTAAAAATTTCAAAGTTGACCTATATCGCGGAAGTCGGTCTTGGATAATTTTAATGGTTTCAATTTGTATGCTTATAGTGTACTTAGGTATTTTGATTGGTAGTACTAGACTACAGCATATACTGTAGTCTAGTACTACTATTGCCTGTCAAAAAATGTATGAACGCATATTTGTTCATTGATTGTATGATGATACAAAAAACCAAATTTATCAAAACTATATGAAACAATCGCCGTTGAATGGTTCCTTAAGTATATGGTTTTAATTTTTCATTATACATTTCGTAATTGTATTCTTATTTTTTATGATTTTTAATTTTACAGCCTTGAATGGTTCTGAATAGTCTCGTTTCGCTATTATGATTATTTAATATAGGGAATTCGATTGAAATCGACNTATTACGATATGAAACAATCGCCGTTGAATGGTTCCTTAAGTATATGGTTTTAATTTTTCATTATATATTTCGTAATTGTATTCTTATTTTTATGATTTTTAATTTTGCAGCCTTGAATGGTTCTGAATAGTCTCGTTTCGCTATTATGATTATTTAATATAGGGAATTCGATTGAAATCGACATTATCAGAGATTTACTCATTTTAGACAAATATTCAGATAAAAATTGGATTTTTAGTGAGTAAATTTAACGGGTCATCTAAAAATGATTGTTCAGCAGTTCCACCTGTTAACTTCCTGGTTGTCTATAAAACATCCTTGAAACTAGTTTTATAATCATTCTATTTTAGAAGTAGATTATTTTTAAAATGTTTTCAGTTCCTTATTGGTTGATTTCACTATGGTATTAACCTCCTATATAAAACCATCTTATACATTTTATAATAAAATATAGGTATATGTTGTTCAGTTGTCTACCCCATTGAATTTTAATTTATATATTTCGATATTTATTAGGTAATCAAATTAATTATCTATATGTTTTATTTATAACTTTATTTATCCTTAAGCTACCTGTTATCTTATTGAAAATTGGATTATAATTAGAACAAATTTTTATATTTTTGGCTAGATTCCAACAATTTTGTAACACACATTAACCCATTTAATTTTAATTTCAATTGGTGACAACTTGAAAACAACTTGATGAAATAACATCTGCAATTATCCTACATTAATTTTTATCATTCTAAAAAAAAAATGTTGAATTACCGAAGTAGTTGTGTTGGTAATATTTTTAACAGAATTTGTCAAAAAAATATGTAGAAATTAGATAATGTTTACAATTAATTAAAATGAAAATATTTTAATCTACGAACATAATTAGGTGTCTATTCTATATTTTTTTATATTATTATGAATTATTATTAATTTGATTAAAAATGTTAAATGTTAGGTTTGGTTATGGCTACAGAAAATAATATAATATTATAATAATGGGACATAGTTTGTATCTATTATTATTATTTGTATTCATTTGGTTGTGTCAGGTCAGTGCTGATCCATAGTAATTTTAAACTATTATGATATATTTAAAATAATAATATTTAGTCATTGATTAGTAATAATTATCTTTATATACAGAGTGATCAGAATTTTATGTTACACACATTTTCTCTTAACAAATATAGGTATAAAATTAAAGGATAATGTGTAATGAAAACTGTTCATTAAATAGTGTAATCTAAAATTATACCTGAGCCTGAAATGTTAAAACACCCTTTTAGGAGATTTTTGGGGTAAACTTTTGAAACTCAAATGACAATCTATATTTGAAATTCCATAGATAACTGAATTATTAGTTCAAATAAATTTTAGTGTTGACATTTTTGATTTCTATCAACCCGTTAACATATATAATTCTTTTTCTTCTTCTTCGCCTTCATCTCAACTATTTGGGGTGGCCAACCTCGTTCTAAGCTTCCATTTCACCCAAACTCCCACCTTGCAATCACTGGTTATCTTCAATCGCATCCCAACCATCTCTTTTTCAGACTTCCTCTTTCTTCATGACACACTCAAACTATTTCAGTTTATAATTCCTTATCTTTTTATTAAGTCTCATTAGAATTCTCTTGTCAGATAAAATACCTGATGTTTCTCTGCCTTTTATTTAACCATATAAAATCAAGTCATTTTTACTAAAACCATGTTTCACATTCTATTCAAAACCACCATTATTTTGTACAAAAGATCCTGTGTACCTACTTAAAATCCTCAATCAATTATATCTCTGTTTATTATCATTAGCTATCTTGTCCTATTCTTATAAACTCATACTCTCTATACTCTGTTTTACTTCCACTTATCCATAATCCTTTTCTTTTAAGTGCTATTCTATATACCTCAAGCCTATTATTAATATCTTCTAGATTTTCTTCTATCAAAGCTATATCATCTGCAAACATCATTTACCATGGTTCCCATTCGTCTGCATGTCTGCAAGATGAAAGAATACACTATTTTTTTGTTTAGAGCTTCATACTATTTGACAGAATTTTACACTGGGTGTTGACCTGATGCAACTTCATTTGTCCCCTCATACAATAAGTAGAGGTACCATGAGATTATTCTGATCTTCTCCCACAAGGGGAAGACAATGTACACAATCAATAAAATCAATTTTAAATTTCAGTATTTTATATCATTCAGATTAATCCCAATAATTCAAATTGGACTTTTTATAATGTTTCAAATACAGTAGATTCTCATTATGTCAAATCTCAAAGGGAACAGGAAAAACTTTGAGGTATTGAGTTTCATTAAAATTTTAACCTTAATACATATCAATGAACTACAATATTGAATAAATTAATTTGTTTTTAAAAAACTGTCATTAAAGTTTGTTTTTCAATTCAAACTATTCCATTTAATGGTAAGTTTTTATCTCTGCGATATTTATATTGACAATAATGTATTTGGTGGAATATTTAATTTATTGACGATTTTACATTTTTTTTATGGTCACCTTTTTCAACTAACTGTGTTTAACAAACTTTGTACGAAATTGAAGAAACATTTAATTTATACTTATTCTCCATTTCACTATATTGAACGATTACAAACATTGACTATACCACTATGTGCAGTCAAAATAACTATATTGAATGTACTGCACAATTTTCTGTTTTTACCGTAATTTGTGTACTCGAGATAACAAAAAACAATTCATTTTACATAGAGTTATCCAGAAAAAACCTCTGTTAAATGTAATGGTAGTTTTAAGAAGATAATGAAAAATTTGACATAGCTATGTTCAACATGAAGAGAATCTACTATATATAGTTTATAATAAACATTTTTTAGTAACCAGTACAAAATCCAAATAAATTATCAATAAATATTATTTTTTAAGTGTGAACAATTTTATTTACAGGTCAAAGGTTATTGAGTCAAGATCTTAAACACACTTCATCAAAAGTTGTGGATAACATATTAGTTATTACTTTGAATACCCCAAATTCAAAAGTAAGTTTAAATATTTCCCTCATTGGTATCAATTATTAAAAATAATGCATATTAGGTAAATTCATTGTCTCATGATGTAATGAATGAATTGCAAGTTAATTTGAACAAAGCAAGTCAAGATCCATCAATTAAAGGAAGTGTTATTATATCTGGTAAACCCAATTGTTTCATAGCTGGTGCTGACATATCTATGTTACAAGCATGTCGAACAGCTGAAGAAGTTCATCAAATATCTCAGGATGGTCAAAAAATGCTTAATCAAGTTGAGCAATCATCAAAACCAGTTGTAGCAGCTATTATGGGAGCTTGTTTAGGAGGTGGCCTTGAAGTAATTAAATTTAATATACTATTAATTGATAAGGAAAATTGCTTTTATAAAATTAAACCAATTAATACACCATCTTAATAATATTAATTATGTACCTATCTTATTTAATTTCTTGTCTAGGTTGCAATGTCTTGCCATTACCGAATTGCTGTTAAAAGTAAAAGTACAGCTATTGGATTACCTGAAGTTATGTTAGGATTATTACCTGGTGGTGGTGGTACTCAACGTCTACCGAAATTGGTAGCTATACCTACTGTATTAGACATGGCTTTAACTGGAAAATCATATAGAGCTGATAAAGCTTTAAAAGTTGGTTTGATTGATCAACTTGTAACTCCTCTTGGGCCTGGTTTAAATACACCAACTGAAAGGTTTGTTTCTTAAAGACCATTTATTATTTTTAATATTTTAGTTATTGATTTAATTATCATTTTAATATAGGACACTGGAGTATTTAGAAGAAGTCGCTATTGATGCAGCCAAAAAATTAGCTGCAGGACAAAAGTTAACAAAAAGAAATAAAAACAAGACTTTAGTGGATAGTGCAATTGACTTAGCTTTGAAACAAGAATGGCTTCGAGAAAAATTTTTTGAGAGTGCCAAAGGCAAAGTTTTAAAAATGACTGGAGGACTATATCCTGCTCCTTTAAAAGTATACACCTTAAAAAATCAATTATTTTTTTATGTTATTGGCATAGTAATAACTCATGGAAGCTATTTTCAATAATACAATTGTTTTAGATAATTGATGTTATTAAAACTGGAATTGCTGAAGGTAATACTAAAGGATATGCTGCAGAGAGCAACGGTTTTGCTGAATTAGCTATGACACCACAAAGCAAAGGTTTAATTGGACTATTTCAAGGTCAAACTGAATGCAAAAAAAATAAATTTGGTGAACCTAAAATTGCATTAAAGTGAGTAAAATAATTATGAAATTAACAATTTTTAAAGCTTAGAAAAGCTTAGTAAAAAAATCAACTTTTAAATATTCAACATCAATATGGTTTCACATTTAAAACTATTTTGTATAGTCCGAACAAAAGTTATAACAATAAAAAATAATTTTATAATTCCATGTTTTAAATGTGTATTGTTTGTAATTGTAATTTTGTATTGTTGAACATATCAGTTTATTTATTTTTTAGGACTGTTGGTGTTCTTGGTGCTGGTCTAATGGGTGCTGGAATTGCTCATGTAACTGTTGATAAAGGTTTACAAGTAGTACTTAAAGATACCAATAAAGAGGGCCTAGCTAGAGGAATTGCACAGATTGAAAAAGGTTTAACAGGTGCAGTTAAACGCAAGAAAATGACAGGGTAAATGGTTTATTAAGTTTTCATCTATGGTTAATACCACTATTATACAATAGTATAACTTTAATGTTCTAATGCATATTTGTTTATTATATTTATAGAATAGAAAAAGATAGATATGTTTCTGACTTGACTAGTACTTTATCATATGAATCTTTTTCAACTGCTGATATTGTCATTGAAGCTGTATTTGAAAATATTAATATAAAACATCAAGTAATTAAAGAACTCGAACAAGTTGTACCCAAACATTGTATTATTGCTACTAACACAAGTGCCATACCAATTGGAAAAATATCAGAGGGTAGTAGTCGTCCTGAAAATGTAAGTTATCATGTATTTATGTAAACCATAAAAAATAATTACTATATTATATATATTTAAACTCAATACATTCTTTACTTCAAATGTTCAATTCTAAATAAATGTCATACTTGTTATATTAAATTTATATACTCAGTTTATTCTATCTGTAAACAACTTTTTTATTAGAAATCTTTTTCCAATAAAAAAATGACAAGAGTCCTCTTTTATAGATGAAATAAGAAGGTCATTTTTTGATTTTCCAAGTAATTTTCATATTGTAAAAAAAAATATAAACCTGGAATAACTTTTTGGCAATTAGTTTCAATTAGATCTGCTTTTTGAATATTATTTTTCTACCAGAAATCTTCCTTCAAATTTCAAGAATAGCACCTTATGAATAAGTAAGGATTCTGTTTAAATTGTATGGTATTTAACCTAAGTTATACTCTATAGTTCATTGGTAAGATTGTTTCTGGAATTTGAGTTTGTGGTGTATTGAATTAGTTCCTTTAGCTAACCGATCCAAATATTTTGATGTAGCTGTTGTATAAACCATTAAATGATAATATAAACTACCTTCATTTCTATCTCAAATTGGGTTCCATGTTATTGTATTTAACTAATAATTTGTGTTTTCATGTCCATTCAATTTCTGAAAATCATGTAAATATAGTCCAATAAATCACTTGTAAAAGTTGTGTATAAATTTAAAATTGAATATGTTTTATATTACAATTTAATACCTAACTGATTGAAAATACTGATAATATTAATAATAATATTATACTAATATTGTCATTACACTCATTCTCTGATTAAAACTTTTTTTTTCACATAAATTATAAATTTTCATTATAATTAAAACTTATTAGATACAATTAATTTAGGAACTGGCATAATATAAGGTTAATAATAATTATACACATTTAATATTTTATAGTGAACTTGCCAACCCATATAACTCCTATAATATATAGAAGATATAAATGTCAAAATTATTTTATACAATAAAGTTAATAATTACAAATTAATATTTATTTTTTGTTTTAGAAATTAAATATTTTATTATTGTAATAGGTATATAATATTAAAAATCTATGTCTTTAGGTTATTGGAATGCATTACTTCTCTCCTGTTGACAAAATGCAACTTTTGGAAATCATAACAACTGACAAGACTTCCAAAGAAACAGCTGCTGCTGCTGTATCTTTAGGTTTAAAACAAGGAAAAATTGTTATTGTAGTAAAGGATGGCCCAGGATTCTATACAACACGTATCTTAAGTACTATGTTATCTGAAGCAATGCGATTATTGCAGGTATACATTTCTAGCATAAACAAAAATTATAATATTTTAATTGTATCATGTATTATTAATGCAACTATGAATTTATGACTAAAATAAAATTTTTAGTTAGTTCTTGTAAATTCATACTGAGTGCAATAGAAAGAATGAGAGCTAGCCAAATTAATATATTAATACATTTTTTTTTTCTCATTTTAGAGCAGACTAGAAAATATAATTTTAGGCTCACTGCAATAAAGCTATTTAAAGCAAACTAAACAAATGTCTTTATTATTTTAATAAAAATAGAATCCATGCATTTCTGTAAAAATGTACATAATGATAAATGAGTACCCCTCTCCTCCCCCAATTGATATCTATTTCTGAATGAATAAATTTAGATAAATACATTTTTTAACTATATGTAAATCAATAGTTAAATTTATTTTAATTTTAGGAAGGTGTAAATCCAAAACAATTGGATAAAATTACCAAGAGCTTTGGATTCCCAGTTGGTGCTGCAACATTATCTGATGAAGTTGGCATCGATGTTGGTTTCCATATTGCCACTGATTTAGCAAAAGTCTTTGGTGAAAGATTTAGTGGTGGCGATCTTAATGTTTTGAAAAGCATGGTAGACAGTGGCTTTTTGGGTAAGTTTAGTTTGGGTTTGGACTTATTTATTGAAGTATTCATTATAAAGATGGTACTTTTATAATAATCCAACTTTCACTTATTCACTTATTTTTAGGACGAAAATCTGGAAAAGGTTACTTTGAGTATAAGGCTGGCACCAAGAGCAGGCCTGAAAATACCGAAGCTATTAGTTTGTTAGAAAAATTCAAACTGGTGCCAAAAGGTGAACAATCTGTTGAAAATCAACAACTACGCATGGTGTCCAGATTTGTAAATGAAGCTGTGTTATGTTTGGAAGAATCTATTCTCAACAATCCGGTATGCATACTACTAATATACATAATATTATATAGTACATAACAAAATATATACTCAGTATACTTCAGGACAACTGTGAAATGTCTTCATAAACCAGGAAACCAAAATATTTGTTCTGTACTAGCTGCAATGACATTGCAAAATTTCCTAATTTACCAACTACTGATAAAAAACAGATGTTATATATGTACATATATTTTTAGCTAAACATTTACAGTGTGGTTTTTAAATAATATATTTTCTGTAACTGTTATAATGTGATATTGATTAAACGATTATTCTTGTTGTAGGTTGAAGGTGATATTGGTGCTGTATTTGGTCTTGGATTCCCTCCATTTTCTGGTGGTCCATTCAGATGGGTTGATTGGTATGGTGCTGATAAACTTGTTTCAAAAATGCAAACATTCCAAAATGATTATGGTTTACCATTTCAACCATGTCAATTGTTGTTAGATCACGCTAAGGATAAATCAAAGAAATTCTATCCATCTTAAGAGAACAAAAAGACTATATATTACTGTCTATTACTTAAGAACTCAAATATGGATTTGGTTTTCAAAATTTACACTTTAAACCTTAATAATAGTATATTAAGAAATGAAGGTTTACCATAGAACATAGATATACAATAACAACTCACAGATATATATATATCTTAGTAACAACTAGATAGCTGAACAAGATAAATTATATACAATATCATTGAAGCCACATAAATCATATTTGTTTTTTCACAAATAGTTAATAAAAACAAAACCATTTGATTTTTTTTAAGAGAAAATCTGGGTTAATTGGCTATTTACTTGTTACCATGTTTTTGGAATTATTCTATGTAAGCCTATTTTTATAAATTTTTTGTTAGTGGTTAAATTTTTTAAATATCTTTTTAATTTAATTTATTTTATTATGTTATTATCAATAATAGTTTTGTTTGAAACAGGCCTGTGGAAAAAAAATATATATTTTCAAATAATACTTTGTATACCAAATTATTTGTTTTTCAATAGATTTATAAATAATAATATTTAACTATCTTAAATTTTATCTAGGAAATTGTTAGTTTATAATATGATAGGGAGTAGGGAACACAATATACAGTCAATGTCACTTATAAGATTTAGATATAAGACTCAAAATCATCTATGGTGTCTGCGGGATGTACCTGGGCACACTTTAATGTTGAAAAAATTATTACCCTACAAATTTTCGAATGACGCTCCAGAGATTTGGTGATTTGTTTACAAAATATTCAATTTATAACATACATAACTAATATTATTCAGGACTTTAATCTCCTTAAATTGTTTCAACTATTTGTGTGCCAATATAAACTAAATAGTGGTTTAGAAATAATTCGTCTGCATTTAAATGTGTAAAATTTGGGATTGTTGGATAATATGTACAAGTAAGCAAAAATTTCATCTTTCACTTTGAATTTATGCATAATTTAAATATAGAAATGAAGTGAACATGCTTAAATTACTCCAGCATATATTATATCTCTATAGTTATACAAAAAGACAATGTCAACAACAGGTAATTGTTCCTAGAACATTCTAACCCACCCTATGAAAAAATCATTTAACCATCACTGGATAGTTTAGAATTGTTTTTTTTTTTATAAAAACAAAGAACTCATATTAATCATAAAATCATAATGTATCATTACAATAGGTACCATTTACATGGGGATTAGATTTTTTAGATTAATTCTAAATGATTTATGGCCATTTGTACACTATTTTCATTAATTTTATGCAATCAAATTTTGCGGATATATTTTTGTTATTACCTACATGGCACAAGATAGATGTAAGGACAGTTGTAATTCATCACTATTTAAACAGGTAAACTTTTTATGGGCTTAGTAAAAAAGTCAGTTTTGCTGTCATCTTTATAACCAAATCGCATTGTCAAAGTATTGTACATAATTGATTGTGATGTTATGACATAACTATTTGAAATAATTGATTATTTGTTTTATGTAGTATTTTATTGTAGAATTAAAAAAATACATTGATGTTTTGTATACCAAGATATACCTATCCCTCATGAAGTCATACATTATTTAAAAAAAACTATATGTTTGGTTCAAAATATTTTATTAGTGTATATGGTGGTTTTGAAGAGAAAAAAGAGAAGGGAAATATTACATGTTATCATTAAGTAAACTAAATATGTAACCTCTAGGTATTTTGTTAACTTCCACAATTTTTTAGTGCCTGAATGTGAATTTTAGCAAATATACATTTTTAACAGAATCACCCTATACCTATATCCTAAAAATATATTAGGTAAATAAGTTGTTTTTTTCTAAATGGAAAAATGTTAAATTAATGACTATTTGTTTAAAGTAGTTTTGATAAAACCCTTATACAATCTAAACTACTGACAACTTGTCAAGTTTATTTGTTTTAATATCATAGATTTTAGTTCTGTTCCATTAACTATTTTTAATACTATCTATTTAATCAGCAACATCAGTAGCATCACTTTTTAAGTGCCTACAACTATATAAGTATTAATATTAATATTATAAATTAATATTTCATAAATGATTTACTAAAAAACTTATCCATGAAAATCTAGTTAAATTGCCTGCAAATAAGTTTATCAAGGGTTCTTGGAGCCAAGATTAGCTAAGATCTCTATAGGTGTATTTAATACTACAATAATTAAACACAATTTACAAGATTGAGAAACTGTTATTTAAATAGTTGACATGCAATGCATTGTACAGGAATAACTTAGATATATTGTTGTGGGTGTATTTTTAAACTCAGAGTAAGGTTTAAGTTAAATGAGTAACACAATATGTTATAAATATATTAATTTAAATTGAAATATATTCTAACGCTTTTTAATTAAGTTTACATCTATCTGGCATGTATATGGTTGCAGATGATATTGTTCAGACTTGTCTGAAAAAGGGTTTATATATACCCTGAACCCCTAGCTGAAGATGCTGAGTCTATGCTTTTTGACAACATGTTTTTGTTCAGTTGAGTGATAACCTCATGTTAGCCTTTACATCCAGGTTGTGTAAGAATAGGTACATAAATATCTGCTTAAAATAGTTTGTATTGCACTAAAGAAGCATCCATTTGATACAACAGAGATTGGAGGTGGATTTAGATAACCTGTTCCTATCTGGAGAATGAAGCTTCAATACTGAACCACTATCAACCATTTAATTTGACCTTACAAATAACATTGTGGCCTATACTTATACAATACCCTATTGCTGCGCAGCATATTATATTATAATATTTAAAGGAAATAAGCTGAAGTCCATAACAATATAAACCTAGATAATTTTACACTTTCTACAATATTATAATAAGGATACATTATATAAGTATAAAACAATTTAAATAATTAAAGACATAAATGTAATATCATAAACTCTAACATTTATATACAATTTTTATATTGAAAATTGCTGTATAGAGTAGTGTTTGGGGCAAATAATTTTAAATAGGATCAATTGTATACAAACAAAAAAATGCATGTTTATATAGTATGTATTGTAAATGTATTTATATATGTATAGGCAAAAATAAAACCATTGTAATATTTTATTAAAAAAAAAAATTGAGTGGGTAATAATAATAAATAAATAAATAAATAACAAAATTACTTTTGTTTAATTATTAAATCCATATAGTAATTAAAATATATGATTACTAAAATTAAATTTTATCATAAATCTAAAATCATTTAAACTTCACAAAAGATTATGCATACATGAAAAAATTATTGTACATTAAGAATTATAATTATGGCAACTTGTTCTAAAATATAATTAACTTGTTAAAAATACTATAATACACTATATAGTTTGACAAGAATGACAGTAAAAAAATAAATTAACCTCAAATCCTATAAATGGCATCCTAAAAATAATTGAGTATAATTAAATATAAATTATTTTTTAAGAAATTTTAAATTAGATAATAAAAGAGCTAAATAATATATAAATATAAGTTTTAAATATACAAATGTAAGCAATACATTATGAAATAAGAATAATTTTTCAATATAATTAACAAATTTTTTAGATTAAAAAATTTGTCGTCTACCACATTGCACCCTTTCTGATTGTTTTACAATTTAAATCTCACTTATTAATAAAAAAGAAACCTTCTAGGTTTGGAAAACTGATGTGATCTTATTTATTCCATTAAGAAAAATGATTATTTAAATTATGATCTATCTTACAATCACAATGTATAAAAAAGAAAAAATAAATTTATTTTTCAAAAAAATATAATTGTATTTTATACTCTAATTTATTGCACTTAACAATATCATAAAACTTTTGAGAAGGAAAGAATGAATTTTGTAGACGACTCCCTTAAGATATAAGTAAAACAATTAGTATACATATATTTCCGTGTATTAATACTTTTAATAGTAATAATGTATTACCACAATTATATGACACAATACTTTATATTAAAAAATTCAATTGATTATTATTCTATATATATATCTAATTTTATATAAATCATTGAATAAATAATAATACATAATACTAAATTAACTTTTAACACACTTCAAATTTAAAAAATAACTTAATGACGAAAATTAATCTAATATTTAAATTTAAACAAATATTCAAATAATAATATATACAAATAATATATTATAATTTTGAATAATATCACAATATTATCATGCTTTGATGAACATTAAAAAATTAGTGAAAAGATTCACTTTATTCACTTGGAATACAAATATAAAATAATTTATATTGTATTTCAAAATTAGATGACATTTTTATTTAGTTTACATGTTTATCAGGAAACAATACCAATTCAATTATGAAAATAAACAATAAAACATTTTTAAAAATACAGTTTTTCTACTGTAATTTTCAATTTAACTTATATCTCTATAATACTGGAATAAACAATTTTAATTTTGATGTAAATACTATGGTACTTTAATGCCATTTTAACCATCTATTATGTATCTCAATGCATCTCTTAATTTTTAACAAACATTAAAAATATTATGTGTAATTTACAGTAATTTTAAAGATTTATATAAAGGTACTAGACATTTAAAATGAATTTAATACATAATTGAATTATATAAAATTATTACTTAATTATAAATAAAAAATCTTATAATAATTGAATACATAAAATATGTTTAAAAAACTCACATGTTAAGAACACTGACTAATCTGATTCATTTACACTATGCTGGGAAAATATGTCACTAATTTCTTCTTCTTCTTCACTCTCATCAAAATTTGATTCATTGGAGTTTTCTAAAATTTAACAATTTATAGCAATCAATCAGTTAAATAATCATAAAATAATCGGTTTGCAAAATACATTTATACATTAAACAATAAAGTGGTTTCTTGCACATATTTTGTATCACTACTCATAAATTAAGATGAACACATAAAATAATTATTTGAACCATTTAAAATTATATTTATTTGCCATATATTTTACCATTAATGTTCTGAGATTGTAATATTTCATCAACAGGCCATGAAAACTTATTATTTTCAATAATTACAGATTTATCTTTAGAAAGAGTAAAATTTGATTCACCTGTAAATTAAAGTAGGTATTTATTTCATTATTTCAAGTTATATGATGAAATTATAAAAAACAACAATATAAATACCAGATATATCTGATGTGGAAGCATCAAGCATTGGTTGTAATATTCTTCTTCTTGCATTGATAAACCAATTATTTACTTGCAACAATGTCAAATTAGTTTGGGCAGCAATAATTTTTTTTTCATCTTCAGTAGGGTATGGATGCTAAAATATAACATTAAAACAAAAATTAACAAACAAAATACTTTTCATATTTAAAAATATACTTTCTTAAATTATAAATATTAAAATATTAAGTTTTAATTTGTAAAATATATTTTCCGTACAATTAAATGTTGAAAAAGCCAAGAGCGCATTACACTTGTGGCATGTTTAGGAAGAATTCCTCTTTTCTGTTGTCTTTTCTTTTTACTTCCAAAATAGTCATCTTCTTCATCACAAGAGCCCCCACTAGTAGTTGATAAGGAACCTATACAAAAAAAAATGATTTATAGTGTAAACAATGCTTAACTGAATTAGCCATTGATAATAATGAATTACTACTGTAAGTTATTACAAATAATGATTTATTGCTAACACTGATGTTATAAAATATATGTCGTAGACCATAGGGAAAATTATTCCTTTTACGAAAAGACTAGGCTTTTTGCATGGGTTAGCCCAAATTTTCAATTCCCACCCTCCAAATTGAAAATCTATTGTGACCCACATTGATTTCACTTTTAAAAAATTAGTTTATGAAAACAACTGGAAAAATCTTAAAATTAACTCCTTAATAAGTTCCACCCCAGTCAATTATCCTTTCAGAAATAGTGCTGAACTTGAAAATCGAATCAAAATTGCTGCAATTAGATAAGTTGTTCATTTAGATAAAAAAATAAACATATTTCTTGAAATCTATTTAATTCAAAACAATTTTTGCAACCCACCAACAATTAACTTATCAATTTGAGAAATGCTGGATTAGATAGAAAATAGATATTAATGATTAAGTCTGGTGCTTGTTTTGTTACAATTATTATTAATGTTAGTTTGATTGTGATATTTGTTTAGTAAAAACCTAAATTTTAATTGTCACTGTATGATTTAAAATTGATATGTTATTTGTTATTTTAAATATAAAAATATCAACAAAACTGAGAAGTAATTATAAAATATTTTTAACACATGGTTCAAAGCTTCCTTCGTACAGTTAATTGCTTTATATATTTTTTATAATATACGGACTGTTAAATTTGTTGTGGCATTGGCTTTGTGTGAATGTCGCATCTATTAGAAAAATGCATGAATTCCCATTCAAGCAGTTCAACATTGTAATACTGTATTGATAAATTGATTTATATAATGAATGGCATAATTCCAAAAAAAAAAAAAAAAAAAAGTAGGCAAGTCATATAAAATAAAAAAAATGATTTTAAAAATGATGTTAGACAATTTTTAACTAACCAACTTTACCCTGTGATTTGGATGGCATGAAGGTTAGGTTAAGTTAGACATTAAAGTAACAATAAAATAAAAGAGTAACATTTAACACGAAACTCGAATGAATCAAAAAGAAAAGTTAATTATAATAAAAATTGTCCCTCAACTTTGTTATTTAACTTTTTACAATTTGATATTATTACAAGTATTTAACTAGAAAGAGAGGCCTCTTCAGGAAAAAAAATACTGGACAAAAATTAATTTTACACCAAAACTACCTAGAGCTTTAGATAAGTGCCAGTTAAGTATATAGTATCAAGTTTATATGTTCTACAAGCTACTTTAGAAGTATTTTAGTATTTTTTTTTTAATGATAAAAATCTATTTTATTTAGATATAAAAACGATTTTAAATAGATTTATATAACATTATAAACATAATTAATCAACAATATTGTTTATTGTTAATTATTTTTAACTATTTAATCAGAATATTATGGTTTTTTACAACAGTTGAATCAATATGGAAAATTTAATTTACTTTAAAATATTTAAGATAAAAATATTGATATTTTTAACACAGTACAGGTTAAGTTTATCTGATTGACCTAAAATTTTTTGTAGTTCATTTTTATACATAGCATACACTCCCATATATAAGATGAAACCAAAAATTTTTTGAAATTGAAAATTAAGGAACATCCTCATGCAGTATTTTTCAATCTTTTTAATGTCGCCACCCCAAAAATAGGTAATAAATAAAACTAGTTACCTCAGGACTCCCCCACCCTCTTATAATAAAAACTAATATATTATAATTATATTAAAGGTATTATTATATTCAATATATATAATATGTTTTAATTATAGTATAAACTAACTTCTTAATTTTTCTAATCATGGTTATGTATTCTTATTTCATGTAAATAAAGTTGAGAAACACTGCACTAATATGTATTTATTTAGAAAATATTAACCAAACTAAAAATATTTCATTATTACATAAGTGTTCAAAAATATGATTTATTCACATACCATGTAAAATTGAAACATTACTGGTCAATAAATTTGTACCAATTGATGAAAATGGTGTTTTTTCTAAAGAAGAGTTTTCTGGTGTTGGTTTAGTGACAGTCAAATCCAGTTGAGTACCATCTTGAGATACATCTTTCATTTCTACAGATGTTGAAGATGGTATATTTGACAAAAGACTGGTAATATTTTTTAAATCCATTATTGTCTTTGGTTTTATAGAATCGTGGTCTCCAGACTGCCGCACAGAAACTCCTGAAGAGGATATCACCTGTCAAACATCATTATAAACCTAAACCTAATATAGCATAATAAACTACATATTATATTTAATACAGTGAAAATATTTTTACATTTTAGCCAAACATTAAAAATAAACAAGATTTTAAAATTACAGCATAAAAACTAATATACAAATTATATAAATTGTTATTTTATAGATTTTAAATCAAATTTATGAAAAAAAATCTACAATAAAAAATTGTATCACCAAAAAATAAATGACTATATGAATAAAAAATAAGTTATCTTGTCTTATGTACACAATAGCCTTTTAGAAGAGGGTGATTTATTGCTACCCACAGACCACTGTTATATATGTTACTTTGAATGTCCATAATTGGTGAATTGTAACAGTCACCAGTTAATGTCAACATACACCACATAAATTGGTGAATGTTGAAAAATTAAAAAAAATGTTGACATATATATTTGCACATAAGGTATAGACTATAATACAATAAATCAAATAGGTAAGAGTTTAAATTCTCAAGTGTTAAAATTGTTAACAAGTTGTAAATTAGTAGTATTTCTAAATTAATAATAACTGTATTATTATTGTGACTTATTGGCGTTACCACATTCACCATAATTCTTATATAAATGTTGTCATTAACTAATGACTTTAGAATATGTCAACATTAACTGGTGACTGTAACTGTGGACATTCACAATAACATATACAATGAAAAAAAGTAAATAAATATATTATACATTATTTGTTATGATAAATAATTTCTTAACACAGTAGGCTAGATAAATTTGAATTATAATAATTATTTATTTAAAAATAAGAAAAAAAAGTAAATATGGATATAAAATGTCTATGATTAACATAGTAACTTAAACAGGTGTATCTGCAATAATATATTCTATTATAATTCTCCCTTGTAATAAGTTACATTTGTAAAATATTTTTTAATGATAATTGAAAATTTATAAATTTATACATTAGTAATAATTATAAAAAGTAAAAATTATACTATTCACTTATTAATTATGAAATTTATTTTACCTGAATATGGTGTGGAGAATGGCATAATGGAGAGTTACTATTACTTGAGTTACCACTGCTATTATTTTCCAAGTAACCAGAGGTATAATCAGAACGTAATAAATTTTCACTTTGCATTTTAATTTTAAGACATGTTATGTAACGGCTACAAAAATCTTTACACAGTTCTTGAACTTTTTCCAGCTCTAATAAATGTATCCGTAATACTTGAATGGCTTTTATCATCTAAAAAGTAAAACAAATGAAAACATATAAATTAGTATTGGGGTTACTTGTTTTTTTTTTTTTTTTTTATGCACACAACAAATTGTTAGACATAAATTACTTGTGATTCAACCAAAGAAGTGGGAAATCAAGAGGGCAAAATCATTTTTTTTTTTTAACATACAATATTAAGATAATACATATTATTATACATACCAGTCCATCTATTTCTTGGTCATTGATTAAAAACGGTTTTCGATCTCTTTCCTGATGTTGGACAAAGGCTTGGATATCCATATTGAAACTTTCTGAATTTGATATTGTTGCCGACTGAGTGGCTTGTTCGCATCTCTCAAAAAGTAATGCTAATAAGGGAAAAAGTGGATGTCTAAAATACAAAAAATAGTTACAAAACTTGTTTTTAATACTTATACATGTATTAGGTATTTATTTTGAGTAATATAATGACAAATTACTTATAAACAGCTCGTTTATCTGCTTCAAATACTGCTTGATCCGGTTGTTGGATATTATTATTGGCAACTGCCGTTAAATTAGATGGAACACTATCTGAGTATGAAACCATTATTAAGCTTTATATTTACTTTCTTTTTCCATTACTATAAACTGAAAACCTGTGAACAAATAATATCAAATTTATTACTTACACATAAAATTGGTATATGTATTATGCAACTATATTAAATTTGATCATACAGTTTTATAATAATTTTTTGTATAGTTAGTAACCAAAGAATATTTTTCAAATGGATTGTGAAGACAATTATTTAAATTAAAATTTAATGTTGTTTTTGTAATAATTGATATCGCTAAAATAATAATTATATGGCTTATCAAATTAAAATATTATTCTATACGAATAAAATAAAAATAAGTGGCCATAGCAAAAATACTGGCCATAAGTGACGACTCAACCCTACTTATCTATATATCGTGAAAACTTGTAATTTATGAATACAATAAATTTAAAAAAATATATAAATTACATTTTGATATTAATTACCTACTTAATAAATTTAATTGTATAGAATGTATAAAGAATTAAAACACCACTGTAAGTACCTATAAGTGTTTAGTATAGTGTAATATTTATACAGCAGTTCACTAATATAAACTAGAAAGTTGTATTATTATTATTTATTTACTAAAGACATAAGATATATACAAGCGTAGTTTTAAAGAAGTTCACAAGTATTTTTTCTATTTTATTACACAAATTTATTTTATAACACAATTTTATTTTATATCAAGTATAACTACTGTATACTTAAAGCACCTAAACAAACTATACTTATAAGTTATAACTAATCTTTAAAAAAAAAAAACAAAAAAAAAACAATGGCAAAAATAAATACACCTGCCCAAATTATGATTTTATAAACCATATTTTTTCCATTTACAATTTAATTCCTACTGTATTATAAAATTATAGGTCAAATTTGGATTTATATTACTCCTTAAATGTCTAACGTTAATACAATTTATTCTCAGTGAACTATAAATTAATTGTGAAACAATGAGTACAAAAAAGGTCATTTTAATGCAAGTACTTACAATTTTGTAAAATATCAAATTTATGTTTATCATGCACATTTTCGTTTAGTATGTCTACCTATTGTAAGAAGTGACAAATAGAATTGCATCAGGTAGACATCCAGTGTAATATTTTGTCAAACAGTATGAGAAGTTCTAATCATAACTTTGGCGGATTGTCTTATCTCAAATATGCACAGAAAGGACAGGTGAGAGAATAAACCATGATATATGATGTTTGCAGACGATATAGAAGAAAATCTAAAATATACTAATAGTCTTGAGAAATAGAGAGTAGCACATAAAGAAAAGGTAAGTACTAAGGATAAGTAGAAGTGAAACAGAGTATATAGAGTATGAGTTTGGGAGAACAGGATAAAACAGCCAATGACTAAAAACAGTGATATAATAGAGGAGGTTGAAAGTTTTAAGAACCTAGGATCTTTTGTACAAAACAATGGTGGCTTTGACAAGGATTTGAAGTGGAGAGAATTATCAGATGTATATGATTAGAGGATTCTAATAAGACTTAAAGCTAAGTTCTATAAAAGTATGGTGAGACTGACGACTTATGTATGATTTGGAGTGTTGGGTGATACACAGAAAATAAGAGTAGTAGAGATAATAATTCTTAGGTGGATGCGTGAAATAACAAGATAAAATAAGATAAGGAATGAATACATCATAAAAGATTTGATTGTTCTAACAAAAGTGTACACTTTCTTACATAGAATTTACCGTGTACTCCCGATAATCCGCGTTGCGGATTATCCGCTGTCTTCCACGGAATCGTCTACATACCTATATGTATACAAAAAAATATATACGTATTGTATCTTTCCATTATAAATCATTATTAAGATTACACAATTCTTGATAGCATTTATGACATAAATACTGCTTGGGGGTTAGTTAAGCAAACTACGTTAGTCAAGTCTTGGAGAAAAATTTTACCGAGTGTGGAAAATACTTTGATAGGGGAAGAAGAAGAAGAAGTCTCTACTTGTGGCAGTCTTGATTTGGCTAATTTTTCTAAATCTCTTACTGGAGGAGAGAATGTTGATGAAGAAAACATTAATGAGTGGATAAATTGTGATGCCAATGATCCCGGATTTGAGCATCTTAGTGATAAACAAATAGTAAGTGGAGCATTAGGTACAGTATCAGAAAGTGAAGATGAAGAAGAAGAAAACGATGAAGTTAATGAAGTAAAGCAAGTTAGTCATGAAGCAGCTCTAAAACATATAGACGGGATCATTAAATATCTAAGTTAAAAAGAAGAGTTTTCAAACAAAGAAACAACAACTTGTGACTGATTTTTTTGCACATAAATAATTTAAAATGTTTATTAAGTTGTGTTATTATAAAGTGTTTTTTTTTAATTATACATATTTAATAATAATTTTCAATTTCAATTTCAAATTTAGTTTTTATTATAAAATTTAATTTTGTGGATTATCCACGGAATTCCACGGATAATCGGGAGTACACTGTATTTGATGATGTGTCTGTGTAAGTAATGTATTCCTTATTATAAATGTAGTAAAAAGTCTACACTTTTTTTTAAAACGAACAAAGCTATTAGGTAGTTTAGGTGAGATTTCAATAATAAACAAAATGAGAGAAAATATACTGAGATGGTTTGGCAGGTTATGATGAAAAGCAATAACAATTGAAATGAAAATAAAGGTATGAGAAAAGGGAAGAATAGGAAGGCCGAAACCAGTGGATAACCAGTGTATACGAGGTGGGAGATTGGGTCAAGCGGAAGTTTAGGTCGAAAGTTGTGAACTCAAAATAGTTGAAGAGAAGGTGAATAAAAAGAAGATACACATATTTGCGTAATGACTTCTCCTTACTACAACGAGAATTAAACGTTTAAGTACCCAGTACCAAGTTCATTATTGATTTGATGTTAAAAAAAAAAATGTATTTATGCAAAAATACAAGTATCTCAAGTGTTTGTAAATAAACATTGCGCATGAGTGTATGTTAAGTTCTATTGCACTCAAGATTGCGTGAAGTAGATTTATATAATTTTGCTTTATTGTTAATCAACTAATAGGAAGCACAGTAATGATTTTACACTTTTAGATTTTTTTTACTTCTTAAAAATATTAGGTATAGTCATTTATTTAGCCATGTTAATAAGTACAGTAAAACTGTGTTTGTTATTTTAGATAGGTACCTACTAATTAATCACTAATATTTTAACAGTGTAATTTATTTTATAATGTGTCAACCATAACAGGTAGATAATTATAATCGGATACATTGAGTATACAACCAGAATACTGCTGATATTATACATTGTGTTAATGTAAGGGAATATTATGGCAATATGAAGCCTGTCATTTATAAGGATTTGTGTCACCCAGTGGTAAAATGTAGAAACTGTACTTCCACTAAATTAAATGGAATATTATAATATAATTGATCAGTAGTGATCGGAACCTAGTTATCTATTCGTTTTGCCAAGGAGGGAAATATAGAATTTAAAAATTGTGTTATATTGTTGAACGTGTACAGGCTAAAAAAGGATCAATTTTTAATTCATATATTTTTGTAAGCAATGTACAATTCTAGTTAAGTATAAGGTTAAGTTAGATAAGTAATTATTATTAATTGATTTACTAAATGTTTCGTTTTAAATAAGAAAATGTAGGTATATGTTCATATTTTTCGGATAAATTAACATAATTAACCAAAGGTAGGCACCGGCACATTCAATTTTTTAATTTTTTTAACTAAAAAGTAAAAAAATTAGAATTTAAAAATAAGTGGACATGTAAATAATAGATTCAAGTGGAAGGTATATAATCTCTCCCCCTCCCCCCGTAAATATACCACCGTTATGAAAAGGTAACTAAAACAATACCTAAGTACTAAAAGTGTTAAGATTTGGTCTACAGTAAGTCCTGTTTTTCAAAGGAGACCAAGTGGGTAAATTCGCTAAAATAAAATAATGCAACGGGGTAAAAAGGTATTATTTTGACGCACGTCGAACCTAATAATACACAATAATATTTTATTGTTACACTCACGAGACAAGATTGTCGTGGTTGATGATGACGACGCTCGTGGTGGGCGCACGTTTTCCGGGGCAGCCGGAGGTTATCAACGCGACGCGGCGACGACGATGGACGCCGGGCACGTCGAGACGGACGACGCGGCAGCGGCCGGCGTGCGCGCGAAGTCTCGGCAGAAACGGTAACGGCTACGGCAGTGACGAAGTGGCGGCGGATGGGTCGGCGTTCGCTGCGTACTGCGGTGTTACGGCGGCGGAGGCGCCGGGCGATTCGCTCCGTTCGACGGCGGCGGGACGGGCTGTTTGCTGTCGCACATCACGCGACCAAGACGACGGCAGAGGTACGTCGGCGTAGCGATCGCGTGATTCGTTGTGGATTCGCATACATAATAACGTCGACGTCGCCCGATGTCCGCACAACAATGTCACTGTATAATGGCAATAACAATAAATATAACTGCGCGGCGTACGGTGACTTGCGAGATAAGAGACTGGAAGTTTTTTTTTTTTTTTTATCATCATGGACGCCCGGTGTCTACGTAGTTCGGAGCGTCGTCGCGCCGGGCGCTCGGGTATTTATCTCTTTTTCCCCCTTTTTCTCCCCGGGACGATAACAATAATAATAATAATAATAATAGAGAAAAAAAAAAAAACCACCGCCGAAGATCGTCGGTCCCCGTCGTTTTTGTAACCGCGCGCACGCACGATTCGGATTCTTTGTACTCACCAGCGACGGGTCGCGAGCGCGCGCGCGCGCGCGCCCGTGTGTTTGTGTGCACGTATATCTGAGTACGACAGACGCGCGCATCCGTCCGTCGACTCCACCGCCCCTCCGCACACTGCGACCACCGAGACGACAACGTCGTTACTCGGCGACTACTGACCGACCGGGTTGACGGTTGCCGATCGAGGGAAAGACGAACTCCGCGACGACGGAGAAGAGAGCGGCCCGTCGGCGAGGCGACCCTTTCACTACAACCGTTTTCCGCGTGTCTTCACTCGGCGGCGCATTACGGTATTGTATGAACGACTAGTAGAAAAACATATTTATGTGTATTTATATTTATATATTAATAATAAAAACGAAACAATACGGTTTTCACGCGGCGCATTCGGACCGCGTCTGCACAACGTCGCCCCACTAGTCTCGTCGCGACCGCCGCACCCTCCGACGCGATCTGCGGGATCGACGTGTATGCACGCGCTTCCCCTCCGTAACCCGTAAAACGAACGAAATAAGTAATAATATTTTCAACATTACGCATTCGCCGGTATATGTAGGATCGACCACCACCCATGATGCGAAACCGTATCTATCATCGGGGTGGGCGGGGGTTGGAAGGGGTGCAGCGAATGGACTTTATTATGAAAAGGAAAATATCGAACGGTAACAGACAACGTACAATATGACAGTATGTTGTTACTATTCGTTACTATTTTAATAAAAAATCGAGAATTTATTTACTGGTTTATGAGCAAATGCACAAATGCAAAAGTATCTTGGCGGTCACAGATGTATTTCGAGTTCTAGGCGGGGCCCCCGCAGGACTTATAATGTTTGCAAACCTAATCCTCACAATATAAATCTGTTATAGTATTGATTATTAAATTATAGGTAGATGTACAATTTATACAAAATACAGTAATATAATCAATAAATTTTGTTTGAAAAAAAAAAAAAAAAACATTATTCGTAGTATAATAGTTATAGTTCATAAATTTTGTCACGAAAGATTTTAAAAAAAAGAGCTGATACCACTGTCGTATACGGAAGGTTTTTTCTTGGATGCCCGCGGCAGTAAATATTTGAACGAATCCCAAAACCTTCGGCAATCGCCTTTACTAAGCCTACGTCCCTGTGCGCCACGACGTTCTAACACAGATTATCTAGTGACCACTCCTGATTTTGAACTCTTAACTAAATGACCACGACAACGAGGACCGTGCCAATTTGTTGTATACGCCACGCAAAGGCTTGACGCATACAACGGATATTTTAGACTTTTCGAAATCCCAGAACGCCATCGAGTAAAAAAATATCGATACCAAAGGACCTAAAAAAATTCACTACTTTGGTGACCACGATAACGAGTACTGCACAAAAGGATAGTTGATTAAGAAATTCTCAGGATTTATACAATATAACTCTGAAATCGCTTTACACACGAACAACTAATCACGGTAACGGGTACTGGACGTTTCGAGCGTCCAGTGTCTCTGTAACCTGGACAATAATGCACTATATATATATATATATATCAGTAGACCACGATAACGAGATATAGGTAATTACAACACTACCTTAAAAAAGCCTACCTTTTAAAAGTAAAATAATACAAGAATAAACACAGAAAAATAAGTACGAAAAACAGTTTGAAATACCTATATCAAAATCTACTCAGATTTTAATAAACAATCGTCACTCCCAACTGCTGTTCTTCAAACGTTGTGAAAATCGAACAGCCCATTTTCTCGTGATTGTTGTTGTATGTAGGTAGGTAGCTACCTAGTTGACCTATTTCCATTCTGTCATATCAGTATCTTCCTGGCCGTGTTCTGATTACCTATTTTTCCTATTATAATTAATTATGTTTGCTGTGCTTAACACTAGACGCGCACCTATATACAACAGTCCCGTAAGTTCGTAACTTAAAAAAAAATATATAGTCATATTTTCGGACCTTTTGCATTTAATGGTAACCCAATGAATGTTTTTTTATTAATACTAGGTTTCTATGTATAGGTTTATAGTATACGTGCACATGCGTTGCGTTTTTTTCTTTTTTTTTTTTATCGAATTTTTTTGTTACACAATTTACTAATTTTTCCAATTTCTTTCGTTTATCTTCTCCTACTGTGATTGTATAATTTCGTTTGTTTTTACATCGGGTTGGTTGGATGTTTTTTTAACTTCACATTTTCGAGTTATCCTGATTTTGTTTCTGTTTTATGATTCTTTGCCCTGTTGCAGTCGGTTTACATATAATTTGACGCTTTTTATTTGTTTTGTGAGTTTTTCAATTGTTTTTCCTTTGCCCATTTGTTTGTCATTATATTTTTTATATCGAAAAATGAGGTTTTGTCCTGTTAATTACTAAACTGTTAATCGTGATAATAATAACTTTAGCTTTGTAAAATGTGAACGTATACATTTTTTTTTACATTTACAATTGAAGGTCAAAGATGTTTTACATATACGGGGTGATTAATCTATCATAAGAAACTCGTTATCTCGGAAAGTATTGACTTTTCCGAAATTTGTTGTCTAGAATATTTAAGGAACGAGGTGCTCTACAATTTGATAATTATTTTATTTTTTGTCACCCTTATTTTTAGAGGTAAAACCACTACCTACATTTTATTTTCAAATGGCAACCTACATTAAAAATTCCATATATAGATGGAGTATTAATTCAAATAAATTTTAGTGTTGAAATGTTTGATTTCCGTTAATCCGTTGACGAGTTATTCCACTTTTAAGTTTGGGTTGGAGGGGAGTGGTGGAATATCATTTGTGTGGCGGGACGGCGCGCGGCGTGTTAATAATGCACCACCGCTCTCCCCTGATCCAAACTTAAAAGTGGAATAACTCGTCAACGGATTAACGGAAATCAAACATTTCAANGGAATTTTTAATGTAGGTTGCCATTTGAAAATAAAAAGTAGGTAGTGGTTTTACCTCTAAAAATAAGGGTGACAAAAAATAATATAAATATCAAATTGTAGAGCACCTCGTTCCTTAAATATTCTAGACAACAAATTTCGGAAAAAGTAAATACTTTCCGAGATAACGAGTGTCTTACGATAGATTGATCACTCAGTATACTCCTATAGTTATTTAATTTATACATTATACCTATAACCAACAATAAATTATTGCTCACGGAAAACGATTCGGAGCGAAGTTCGGTTTAACATGTATTTAAATGCCGTAATATATTTACGATTTTCGTCAAAATTTGTTTTTACAATGATAAGATATGTATAAAAAAAGCCGGACTACTTCGCACGTAGTTGCAGCCACTGTTCACTGTTGTAGACTATAGGTGAAAAGTTGGGAAGGTAGTACAGGGAAAATTTAATATATATCTGTTAGCAATGAAAAGCCATTGCTAACGAGTTCAGTTGATAGTTATGCTTATAATATAGTAAAATAATTAAATAGGCTCTATATATTTTCTTTACTAATATTTGTTTTATGTTGTACCGATTTCCCCGGTTTTCCCATGTTTTTCCCTGTTTTTACATTTGCTGAGAAAATCGTTTCTTCACTTACGAGTATACCGTCAAAATATATACACTTACATTTTTTATCTATCCATTATATGTTGAACAATTTCTGGAGCAACTGACTAAACTGAAAAGTAATCTTTTAAATTGAAATGAGACAAACGGCGTACAATTTTATTGACTCAGTCTCTATTTCGCACTGATAAATCCCGTCTTTAAGATTTAACCAAAATTAAAACCTTTAACTGAAAACCTCCAAATGTTTTTATGACCACTCGACTATTTTTCATAGGTATACCCATTTTCTTATATAATTTTACGGGCATTACATTCAGTTGAACACCCGTATTATATTCAATACCTAACACTATTACATCTAATTTTACTTTGTCCATCCAGGTTTTATTTATACCACTTCAACTTCATTTGAATTTAATTACTCAAATTCTTCCTGTTGTTTTTTCATCGTATTTACTTGTCTACCTTTACTCTTTTCATTTTTGTTTCAATTTTTATAAACTTTAGCAAAATTATTTATTTTCTTACATCTATTGCAATACTTATTATAAACTGACATCCATTTACTCCATGTGACCTATTACATTTATAACAATTAAATTTATATTTAATACTTTTATTTATTATATAACCTTAAATCTGAAATTTGCTAAATTATATTTTTTTTTCTGACGATTGTAAATTATTTGGATTTATTAAATCGGTAATGACTCGTATTTGCTACAAAGTGATATTAGTTCATTCAAGTGGTGCGTTCGTTGATAATTATATACATTTTTTTATAGTGTTGACCACTTTAGTCCTAGAAAACTTGCTCCGATGCATAAGTGTAGCACTTTTTCTGAGAGTACATTATCTATTTGGTCATTTTTTGATTTTCGAAACGGTAATTAAAATAAAAAACGATTATCTGGGGGAAAAAAATACGATTTTTTCACGATTTCGATATTTTAAATAAGTACCTAAAACGTTTTTTAATACATATATGGTGCCAATTGAAAAACAACAAGAAACCTTTCTTTTTGAATTATTAATCTTGTTGTAATGATGCAATTCGTTTTTTTGATTTTCGAATTATTTTTCATAATAATCGGGAAAAAACGTAGGAATATTAGGTTAAAAAAAATCAAGGCATTTCAAATTATGTATTACCGAACTGCGTTCGGAATCGTCTTTCATCAAGCAATGGTTTATCGTTGCTTACAGATAAAAATAAAATAAACTTATGTAACCTACTTTTCCAACTTCTCACCTTCAACAGTGGTCTCTCCCATCCCCAGTATCAGCTCTTTTTTAGTTTTGGTTAATTATGTACTCTTCGACACCAGATTTTTGATGGTATAGAATTATTAATAGTTACTAGTATACAAGAGATAATATCATACATTTTACACGTAACAGGCCTAATTAAATACCCAGATAAGTAAAAATTTAGTATATAAAATTGCATTAATAATAATTTCATTGCCATATGGTAATGATTATTTTAGATTCTGAGTTGTTCGCTCCAAAAGCTTATAGTTCTACAAAGATGTTTATTTTTTTTTTTTTTTTCGGTAAACAACTTTTCTACTACCAATTTTGACTCCAACTTATAATGTCAGCAATGTTTTTGAATGTAAATTTTACTTGGGAGGTACCTTAAAGAGGTCATTTTTCGATTTTCTCAGGAGTTTTCTCAGCAAATGTGAAAGACCTGGATAAAAATGGGAAAATCGGGAAAAACGTAGGCAAATTGGAAAAATCGGTATAACATCAAATAAATAGTATTAAAGAAAATATATAAAGCCTACTTAATTATTTACTATAATATGACATATATATTGTTAACAAAGCATTACTATCAACTGTACTCCGCTCAGAATCGTTTTTTCTTAAGCAATGGTTTATCATTGCTTACAAGTTTATATTGAATTATCTATAACACTGGCTGCACCCGTCCCCAATATCCTAGGATGTCTTTTAAAAATTAAAATTTTTCTTGAAAAATTCGGGCCGTATTGATTCTCTCTCTTATTGCCTTCTCTTGCACACTGATCTCGATGTCTTTTTGGTCCAAACTGGTTAAACCGGACTTAAATCTCAACAAATGCTATGCTATGACCGCTATGATCTCGTATTCTTCATCAGAGTCCAGAATAGGTATTTTTCATATACCTCTTTCCTACTTAAAATTGTACATCCACATCTTGACTACTCAATACTCGCCCGAAAATATATTATCATCACAATTATGCGTAACCAATTTCCCCCGCGCATATCCGTCTTCAGAAAACGCAATCGATTTTATAAATTTAAGCAAGCTTTATACGAGTCAAACAATGAATGGTTCGTTAGCGTTAAAAACGCAGCTATTCCATGTACATTTGATAATATATTATATGAAGTTCTAAAAGATAAATTCGTTTCAGGACTCTTGCATGGTGAAATTCTGGATTGAGTCTGCGAAGAAGATAATTCAAAGTTGTTAAATGACATATAAGACGTGGAATTGAAGAAAGAAAAGTGTGTAAAACAAGGGTCTGGTGTTATGGCAGTTAACAAGCTCAAGACTCAGATTGGATAAGCCAAGGTGGTCAAAAAACTTTAGTACAAAGGAAGCGGCAGTTAGCGGTTCAACTACAGGAGCGGTTTTCAATAAGAGACAGTCAAAAGGATATTTTGCTTGTGGTAAACTTAATCATTATTTTAATAAATAGAAGTATAGATCTTATAAGCGTAAATAAGCTAAACATTTGATCATTTAGCTATTGTGTGTCCAACGAAAAAAAAAAATAGTAAAATAAATAACAAAAGTGTTCAGACAAATGCATATATTGAGACTGAGAGTAAGATAATGATGTAGTTAATATGTTCAACGTGGGAAATTGGAACAGTGTGGATCCTATAATTTTGCATGCAGAAGTTAATAAAATTTCAGTTGACTTTGAATTAGATTCCGGTGCAGGAATTTCGTTACTTCCTGATCGTGTTTATAAAAGTAATAATTTTATGTGTAATATTTTTCCTTCTAAGAATAAATTAAAGATGCATAATGGTGTTGTAATTGAACCATTTGGTGAAATTCATGTTTTTATTAAGTACAAAAATATATGTCATACTAACTATATATTAATCATAGTTAAGAGTGACTACAAACCTTTGTTTAGTAAGGATTTATGAAGATTTTTCAAATCCAGTTAACCAACATTAATCAGTTTATTTTAAGTAACACAGTGAGTAAGATAGTGAATGATAAGTTAAAAATATTAGTCGGAAAACAGTGAATTGTTTTTGAATAAAATAGGTACTTATAAGTATGAGGAAATAATCTTGAACTTAGCCAAGGATGCAAAGCCTATTTTTCACAAACCTAAAGTGTTTTCCTACTCATTGAATGTTAAGGTTGATGAGGAATTAAATAGCCAAATTAATTAAAGTGTCTTAGTCAAGACTGACAGTAGTTCTTGGGGTTCACCTTTAGTACCTGTTGTACTAAAGTAAGTGATGGTTCTGTGCGAATTTGTGCAAGATTAATAAAGTAATGGTTAGTTGATAACTGGAGAATTTTCAGCACCTTTTACCTCGCGTTGAAGAGTTGTTTGAAGCATTATAGGGTGGTAAATATTTACGAAATTGGATTTCTTAAATGCTTACAACTAATTGAGTCTTATTGAGAAAAGAAAAAATTTTAGCATGGAGCTTTAGTAAGGGAATATTTTTACTTATTAGGTTACTTTTTGGTACTAAGCCATCCAGAAATATATTTAAGCGCATTGTAGAAAAAATACTTCAGGGTTTAAAAGGTGTTATAAATTTTCAGGATGATGTTATAACCGGTAAGTCTGACATAAAACACTTAAACAAAATTGAAAAAGTGTTTGAAGAGATTGTCTGATTCAGGAGTAAGAACTAGATTTAGTAAATGTGTTTTCTTTCAGTCTGAAATTCACTATTTAAGGCATATTGTGAGTGCTGAAGGCGTTAAAAAAAATACAGACGCAGTTAAGGCGATTTCGGAGATGTCTAGGCCCAAAAATGCCAATGAGATCAGAACTTAAACTGGAATAATTAATTTTTATGGCAGATTTTTTCCAAGTTTAGGTTTTAGAGTCGTTGTATGCATTAATCAAAAAAGATGAGGATTTTTTATGGATTGAGAAATGTGAAGAAACTTTCCGAGAATCAAAAATTTAGTAGCTTCTTATGGAGTACTTATACATTAATATATGACTTTACCCTTGAAATTATGTTGAGACACATCTCAAGTTCGAATTGGATCAGTTTTGTTACAGGTCACAAAAGGTGGAGAGGAAAAATCAATTAGTTTCTTTTCAAGAGTACTATCTAGTGCAGAGAAAAAGTATTCTGTTATTCAGCAAAAAGCGTTAGCTATATTTTCGGGCGAGTATTGAATAGTCAAGTTGTGACCTTAAAAAAAAATCATAATATTATACAAATATATTTTGCATGTCCTTCGTTTTTTTTTTTCGTTTTTCGTATTTGATAAGAAAACTCTAGAGAAAATTAAAAAATTACCACTTTAAAGTATCTCCTCACACGTTTTTTACTGTGACATTTTGATCACGGCATTTTTCACCACGATATTATTGCCACGACATTTCGATGGGTTGCCGACTGTGTGGACTATAGAGAAATCAAAATTTGCCAGTACATTTTTTCAATTTCTGCAGTTATTACGGTGCTGTAGATACGAAAGCGTAATACAATTCATAAAAGATGCGGTTGAACAGCTGGACCTCTTAGCATAGCTTTAGATGGCTTTGAAACCATCAATCATTGTGTATTGACAATTTATTTGGACTTCTACTGTTAAATGTAGTAACGCTAATGCTTAAAAAAGAAAAGTTTAAGTTAAAATCAAGCAAAAATATAGTGTCAAAATACAACTTAATCGTATAAGAATTATGATATGATATATCATCACTCACATGACAGTAATGGAACCATTTTAAAAATGTATAATTTTTCCCACCTTCTGGATTTCTAAACAGGTGAACTGTTAAGTGATCTTTATTAGACATATAATAGTAAATAAATTTCACATTTCAACATTTTACACGCATAGTCTTGATTATATACTTTTACAATGTTGTCAGCATAATTCATTCTGTAAAAAAAATCAAACCTAAATATTTACATTACCTACTTACTCAACTATTTCACTGCTATGTAACTCCCAAATGGAGTTAGACTGAGTTCTAGGTTTTATTGAGGCTATACCGATTGATCTCCATAAATTTACCATTGGAATGTCGGTTGTTGGAGGCAAATGATTATGCAGTTTAAATGCTTTTAAAGAATTGTTATTTAAATTTAATTAATACTCTCTAATGTAGGACAAAATTAAACCTTGTTCCTTTGATTCTCACATATTATATAACTAATATGTACTAATTTATTATTAATGGTAATACTATAGAAAGTATAACAAGTTTAATCACTTAATTTAACGAAATTTTTAAAGATAAATTAGGAGAGTATAAGAACTTGGAAATACATTTGGAGTTTAATAAAAAAATAAGTTCTATTTTTTTATAAACATCGTACTTAATTTATGAGAGGTTTTCAAACAATGCAAAGAAGTTGTATTTAAATTAAACAAAGAAAAGTGTGAGTTTTTAAAACAAGTGTGACATATTCAGGTCACATAATTGATAAAAACGGTTTAAAAACTAATCCTGACAAAGTGTCAAGTGTTTCTAGGATGTCAGCGCCAAGTAATGTGACCGAACTAAAATCTTTTTTAGGAATGGTCAACTATTACGGCAAATTTATTAAAAACCTAGCTACATTATTAGCCCCACTTCTCAAAAAATAATGTTAAATTCATTTGGAATAGCAGATGTTTTAAAATATTTATTAAAGTCAAACAAATATTACAATCTAACTAAATATTAACTCATTATAATCCTAAGTTACCAATAATTATATCATGTGATGCATCAGAACGTGACATTGATGTCATTTATTTCACACAAATTCCCAGGTTCTTCAGAAAGATCAACAAAAGTGTGCTTTTTTTATATCAGGTTTCAATTATAAAATTAAAGGTTCAGATAAAACTATAGTTGATAGTTTATTTAAGTTACCTTGCAAAGGAAACAAAAGTAAACTTTATAATTCTGATGTTGACATTGCAAATTGGATAGAAGGATAATCGCCAGTTAGTTTTCTTCAAATAAAATCTAAAACCTCCAAGGATAAAATATTACAAAGTGTCATCGGTTATTTAAAAGATGTATAGCCTAAAAAAATGTCTGCTGAGCTGAAACCTTTTTTTAAACATAGAAACGAATTAGGGTGGGCGCAAGTCAAAAGAACAAAACTGCTCCGAGTTACTCGAAAAATATTGTTTCAAACGGCTTGGAATAAATTCCATTCACATTGACAAAACAAAACCGAACTAGAGAAATTTGTTTACATCAGTTGTCAAAAAAAGTTTTGACGAAGATGACGTTATTATACAATTTTTTTTAAATAGCGAAATAAATGAAAATAAACGTAAACGTAAAATGTGGGTGCATGAAATAAATAAAGAAAACATACAAAATATAATACAATTTTAAATTTAAAATTCAAAATTGATCAATTTTTTGGATCGCATCCCATTTTAAAATAATTATGAAGTATTGTATGTATTAAAAAATGAAAAAATGTATGATTGACACCAAAAGAACATGTGTTCAGTTGTATACTATCCTATAATAAATCAGTGATTTTTGTTTTTCGTATTTTGCTCGGAGAAAAAATAAATCCAGACCCAACAGGTTTTGTTTTGTCTTGTCGTGTGTTGATGTTGACTGATTAGTGTGCGTGCATCATTTACTTTACACGTGTTCTAATTATGTCAAAACAGCTCCGAGCTAGTCAGAGCTGTTTTGCTCTTTCAGTGTGCGCCGGCCCTTAGAGATGGACAGTAATGTATTCATTTGGGGATATAAAACCGTAAAACGAAAATTTACCCAATTGTTGTTAAAAGAACTGCATAGCTCACATTTATGTAAACTAAAATTAAATCCATTGAACTAAGAAGATATTCTTCTTCTTCTTCCTCAGCTTATCGGCCCATTAAGTGCCATCGCTGCCATCACAACACCTCTCCATTTCTCTCTATCGTATGCGTCATCAAAAGATGACTCTTCTACGTTTTTTATATCTTGAGCTATAACGTCCATCCATCGGGTCCTTGGTCTTCCTAATGAACGTTTTTTATTTATTTTGTTAACTAACACTTCTTTTATTACTTGTCCATTCGCTCTCCAAACATGGCCGAACCATTCTAGTCGCTTGCATTTTATATATGAAATAATATTTAGCCTGTTCTTTCTCAGTACTTTTCTTTCGAAGGTCATTAATCGTTTGCTGTCTCCTAAGGTCAGTGACCATGTTTCACTCGCGTATGTGATTATTGGTCGTAAATAGCTATGATACAGTAGTGTCTTTGAGTTATGTGACAGTAGTTTTGATTTAAGGAGTCTCCTCATGCTATAGTAGCATCGGTTGCCGCATGCTATTCAATCATTGATTTCTTCATACATGTCGTTGTTGCTATTTATGTTAACACCTAGGTACTTAAATACCTCCACTTTCTTGAAAATATAGTCATCTACTGTTATGTGGTCTATGTTTAGGCTTCTTCTTGCTACCTTTAAGTATTTCGTCTTTTCCTCATTTACACGCAGCACTATGGTTTTACTTGCTTTCAAGAGTTTGGACGCAGTATTTATGATTTCATCTCTAGTTTCTCCCATTATTACAATGTCATCTGCATATGCCAATATTACTCATTCCCCACATACTTCCATTGAACTATCTATTAACTTTTATACATACTTTATCTTTATTTGATTTGCTAAAATAAATTCTAATTTTTTTTTGTAAGTGATTGATTTTCTTTTTTTATCCTTATTTCTAAAAGAATACTGTAATTGTAATTGCCAGAGCTCTGATTTTATAGCACTACTGAAAATAACTGAAATATGACCTAAAAAATCTTAAAATATGCTCTATAATATGCCATAAAACCATGAAAAATGGTAAAAAAGAACATTTTTTAAACATATAAATATGCCTACATAGATTAAAATATGAAACAAAAATATGGGCACTTTTCTTATAGATTCATATATTCATATAAATGATAGATTTGTTCTACTATTTAAATTTATGAAAAATACATAATAAACCATTATATTATGCATACAATCAAAAATAGCACTAAAAATTAAAAATACAAAGTAATACTCTTAGTAGATATACAAAAATTTGAAGAATAAAAAAAAAGGATAACTTACACAAATAGTTGATTTAGTTAGAAGATAATAAGGATTCAACAAATTTAAACCTAAAATAAGAACCAACAGGGAGCAAGGCAGGAAAAATAATTAAGTATGGACAGGGGTCCACTGGGAAAATCCTGATTTCCCCACTCATTCTGATGCATAAAATAAATGTTTAGCTCATTTTGTTATTTATATCAGTATCCTATAATGATTAGAAAATTGTATAAAATCCGAGCCCTGGTAATTACAATGTATGTTGTATTAATATACATTTGCACACATTACACACTTAAAATTGGACACCCTCTAAAATATGGTTTAGAGAAAAAAGACACATATAGTTGTATAGTTATATGATCAATTTACACAGCTAAGTAATGTAATGTATTATACCTACGAAGAGTACTTTTTAGGTAATCATGGCTTTTAAAAATAAACATTTGATTTTAAAAGAGCATTTTATCAGATGAATAATATGTGACAAAAGCGCCCATATGGTGATATAAGTTGAGATGATATTTCATCCTCTGTTTATGATGGATGTAACTAATAAACTAGGTCTTTAATAATTAAAAATGAATCAATTTTAAATTCTAACTGATATTATTTTTAAGATAATAAAAGAGAAAATCTCTTGATGGATGTTCAAAATGATTATACATCATGTAAAATCATTTAATTATTAAGATCTAGAAAAATAATAGCTCAAACAATATGAGTACAATCACAATTAATATACAATTGTCTCAACTTTATTGAGAATTCCTAGATAATAATAATTGCATTTTTTACTTAACTTATTCAGAAAAAATTGAAACAATATGAAAAAAGTTTTTGATCATTGCATATTAAAGAAAAAAAATGTATAAATATAAAAGTAAAGATGTTTATACTCTATTAAATATTAATACAATAGATAGTAAATGTTGTCAACATGTGATGCCATTTTAAAGAATGAAGAAACTTTATTGCTGATCCAAAAAACAAAATCAAAATTCATTATCAAATACTATATGGTTTACTTCCACTAGTAAACAGAGGTATACTTATTTAACAAGTATATATTTAATATTATGTTAAAATAACATTACTATTAGTGTTTAGAGCTTTATTTCAAAAAGATTATATATTAAACAATATTTCAGGCAATTTATTTTTTCCAACAGGAAATAAAAACAAATTAAAACCCTATGATAAAACCAGTAAAAACTATATTGAAAGAAATGTAATTCTAAAAATGATCAAATGCATTTAAATACTGCAAAATCAAAATGTAGGTCTTCTTAGTTTAACAATCCACACTAAGATTTCAGTTGTATTTACTGTTTTATGAGATAGAATCAATATCAAATGAAACTCAAACAAATGAATATCATGTTGAGGAATACCAAGTAACACAATCTACAGCTAATTCTATGCGAGAAACTATAAAGCCTTTTTATAAAACTGTAAGTTATGTTTACTTGTTTATTCATAATATTGTAATTATTTTGGTCATGCTATTATACTACTAGTTAAACTTTCATTACCTTAGAGTTTTTTTGATTAGCTCTTCACTTATATTCATAATGTTATTATGATTAGTAAAATTGATAATTACCAAACTTTATAATTCTGACAGCAGTTGGTTTTGTAATATATCTACTTTTTTCTTATATCTATTTCTGTATTGTGTTCAAAAATCATAATTTAGGTTCAGTTATATGCATAGGTTTTTTCAGGATAAAGTTAATTTGTGTATATTGTATTACAAAAACTTGCAGTTCAAATTTTGTCAAAATCCAAAATATCAAATTAAAATAAATACAGGCAGGTATAAAAATAACTGTGAGTTATACATATATACCTATATTAAATAAAATGTACATTAAATATTATCATATTGTCAAAATCTTTAAAAGGAAAATTAAAAAGTTACAGTACATTACAAAGCATAGCTCAACTATGCATTTTAATGTCAAATTTTTCAAAACGTCCAAAAATTGAAAAGTATTCAAATGTGAAGAATGAAACATATTATTGAGTTTTCAAATTATATTCAATAATATGATAGGATGCACAATCATTAGTGGCATGCATTGAACTATTGGAAATTTCTGCTTGTATTGACAATAGAAAGTTACAGCTTTGTAAAATGTTACAAAAAATCATGTAATTACTGATTATTTAGTTTTATATACAAAACATCTTTAGGAAAACATTCTTAAACATCTTCATGTTTTAAAAAAGGATAATCCGAACAATAACTTTAAATATTTTCAAAAAAGATTTAGCATGTGAAGAATATATTAATTATTTGATTGGTTTGCAAGGAGCTTGTAAAACAGAAACCATTTATTCTCAAGATATAAATATTGATTTTTAAATATATTACTTCAAATAGAGTTCTGTTAAATATTCGTAAAAACAGAAGATACATTTTAATTATAATTAACGCAATATTAAATAAGTTTTTTTAAAATTGGTATTGATGCAACAACTGAATGTTCAAGACTTGACAGACTTCTTAATCATTCAAGATTTGGTAATCTAGAACCTAAAATTGTAAAAATGTTTGGATTACCTAGGTTGTGTTAGTGGCAAAAACTAGTGAAGACAAAAAACAAAAAAAGTGAAGAATTAACCTTTGATTATGGTAATTCCAGCAAAAAATCTCTCATAAAGCATCCATATCTTGATTATTAAGATGTATAGTACACAATAGGTGTGTTTTTGGGAAGTAACCAGATTACTATAATTGGTTGCTCATTGATTGCTTGGTTTAGCGATTTGCAAATAATCTTAAAATAACTATATTTATTGAGAACTTTATCATTGAATTGTATATATTTTTTTTTCTAAATTTAACTCTGTTGTATGTCATTTGTGATTTTTCTTTATTTTTTAATTATACCCTAATTTACTATTTTAGTCCAATTTAAATGTCTTGTTATTTATTATTAACAAGATAATTATTGTTAAGTTATTTAAATATATAATACTATGTGAAGGATCAAAAGCAGTTTATTTGTCTGTTAGAGGATTAGATTATATCTGATACGTTTATTTTTACAGTAACAGAGTAATATTGATTCTCTCACAGGCAATATTACCTAAACATTTGACCTTAGTTGCTCATTATATAGATAGTAAAGAAATTTTTTTATTATTGATGCCTACAATTTTATCAAAAGTAATTTATTTTAAATACTGTTTTAAAATTTATTCAGAAAGTCTAATAGTTAACAATCCTATACAGGAAAAAAAAAAAAAAATCTTGTAACAATTTAACAAGTATGACTACCATAGATACCACATTGAGCTATGTTATCTTCATTGTAAATTGTTCAGTATAAAATAAATTTTATTTGTATCTATTTTTTTTTTTTTATGATGGTAATTGTATCGAATGAACACCATACATATTTATTGGAAACTTTGTATTCTTACTTTTATCAGTTCTTGACACAAAAAAACATTAATCTTAAATTAGTAATAAAATTACCTTATTTTATATTTATTTATACTTATATTAAATGAAATATAACTTATAGCGAATATTTAAATTATTTTTAAACAATAAAAACTGCATATAATAAAAAAAATAAATAAAATTTGAATTATATTTTACGAACTTAAAATGACTTTCAAGGGCGCCAGTGGCAGCTTTCTGCGTACCCTGAAAAAGTGGCCTACACAAGCCTATAATGAATATCATTGCGTATTCCAATTACAAGAACGTGAAAAATGTTTTATAATACCTACGAATATATCGTTACATTGCTTACATCATATCAATTCATCCCTACGTAAAAATACCAAAGATGAATTTTAATTTATTTTATCTTTTCGAATGTTTGACAGTCATGTCTTAGGTTGAATTTGGTTTTTTTTTTAAATTTAAAATTTAGAGATCGTTGAAAACACAAAATTCATACTGCCAAAACAAATACCGTATAAAAATATAAATTTATTTTACGTAAATGTAATATTTTAATAGTGTAATATTAATATACTATATATCAATTATACAAGTGTTGCAATTATATTTGTTATGGTAGTTTGGGTGATTAGTCCAACAATATTGTCTTGCTTATCTCCCCTTATGAAAATTTGCAAAATTTCCTTACGAAGTAATTTTACGGAATAGATTATACAGAACACGAACATTGAGGTTAGTTTTAAGGAGTACATCAGATTCGTCATGTGGCTAAACTGCTGAAGTTGTTTATGGCAATGGTGTCCGATGTCAAAGTAATATGCGTTTACTTTGACATCGGTTTGTTTGTGTATTTGTGTGTGTAACGTCATAATCCACCGTTCGTTGCCATTAGTAATTATTGATTTTGACGTTTGTTTTCTTGTGTCGTAGCTCTCGGTTTTTACATGTTTAATTTTCACGGCTAATGTATCGAAATCGTTGAACTTATTAGTCCGAATACTTTTGATAAATCGCATCGCGTTACTGGTTCGACAAACTGACAAACAATTGCCACTGCGGACACCGGAATGGCCGAAATTTTGTCATACCGTGATACCTAGTCTAACTGCAATTGATGAATACAAATCAATGCCTTTATACATCATCGATTTAACAAAATCAAATTATCAGTGCAGGTACGCCATTTTATACGTCTTTGTTCGTTTTTTAGGATTTTAATACTTTCCAAATTCGTCGGACCACGTGTCAACCTTATACGATTTTAAACGTACATGATTTGTGCCTGTACTGTTTTCGCGAAAACTACTGCACAATTTTAATACTGCTATGCTATTAATATTCATTGTACTTTTATAGTGTTGTCATACTTATTTAGTTTTTTAATTACTTATTTCTCGGAAAAAAAATACAGAGTCCCGTCGAGTCTTATGTTGGAATTAGGTATATATATATATATATATATATATATGTATAATTTAAGTAATTTTGTAATTGAGTTTACATGTATATGGAATATGTATTATCATTGATTATAGAATAGAATCTGTTCTATACTTAATGTGTCATTTACCTATAATATGATTTTACAATCGATAATCTCCAGGCTATAGGTAGATATTTTTTATTTTGTTTTACATGAGTTGTATTTAACCAGGGCAACTAATTATTATAGTATGCACATTGCTTTGTATTTTTCTATTTATCCTCCCCCCTCCTGAACTAGATAAGTTTTATGTATCGTTTAAATAAAATCTAAATTTATTAATTTTTCATTCAACTTTAGATGAATGAATGAGTTCATTTAAACTTGTTCATCCCAAGGTCTATTAATAATTATCAACCTTTATTTCTAAGGTGCTCCGCAAATCATTTTTGTTTATTTCTTTTTATTATAGTAGGCAAATCTAATATATGCGTCATATGACATAAAGTGCGCCACATCACCACACAGTGGTCCAGAAAGTATGTTTGGCATGTCAAAATTAATAATTAATGGTTAATACTTATACATACTAGTGCATACTGTATAATATAAAAGTTTATTGTATAATTACCTATTTTAAATAATAATGTATACCTACCTATTTTATGTATGTATACTAAGTTACAATTGGACTATTTCATTTTTTTTACATTTAATTACAATTTTAAGTTTTAAATACTCTCATTATACCCTGTATGTATATTATATAAGTATGTGTTTATGTGTCTGTATACTTGCAATAAAATTGAAGTTATAATATTAATAAGTATAATACTATATTATTCAAACGTTCAATTACAACCTGACCATTTTTTTTGTTAAAGAACATGAAAAATTCAAAAATTTTTGTTTCTCATTTTAAATAATTTGTATTTAAATTCTTATAATCATAAGTTTGTATGATAAAATACAATAAATAATTTCTAGATTCGATATTTTGAGGAAAAAAATGTAGTAAACCTATTTAAACTATATAATTACAAGCATATCGGGGCCGATACCTACGTCAATAATATGTCAACAATAATTCAATATTTACACCACTGTAATACAAATAAATAAAGGAAAGGGTACCAATTTTGAAATTTGAGTAACCTACCTTCAGTATCCATGTACATATTGAATTAATAATTAAATTTGAAAATTAAAAAGAATAACGAAAATGTCTGAAAAACCCAACACTTTATTTATTGCTGTTACATATATTGATAATTAATTTGATACAAGTATAAAAAATATATATATTTCTAATCAATATGTCATAGAAACCAGAGTTTATTGTCAATAATGAATGGGAGCGTTTTTTATTATATTATCTCATTATGAACAGTAGTGCTGTTGACATTTCAACATAGTTAAAATGCACCATCACCATATATTGTGCATGTACTCACGAACTAATTACTTTTTAAAGTTACTGTTTTCTTTTACATATTATGTATGAATAAATAGAAATATATATAAAATATATAGAAATAAATATAAATGATCATTATCATTAGTTTGAATCATTTTAATAAGCATTATTACTTTTTATATTATTAAATAACTAGTGATAAATACATCTAATATACCTAGGTACCTATTTATGAACAATTAAAACTTGTCAATTCAATTTTTTAGGAACTGGTTTAATAGATTTAGGTACAAAAAAAAAAATGGAAAAAATGTAGGATTCATGAAGCTACATAATATATATATATTTGTTGGTATTCAACAAACAATAAACAATTTTTGTTTCATTAAATAAATTTATTATAATTTTTTAATAAAATTAATACTTAGGTATTAAATATTACGCAAACTAAATATTTTGGTTCAAAAATACTATCAAATTCGCGAATTTTCAGATTTATCTTCAATCAAAGTGTGAATTAAAACTCGGTTTCTTGATTACTAGTTATAGATTCATTAACTGTCAAGTAAGATAAAAATCCTTGAGTTCCCTAATCATCAATATCTGAGAACAAAGAATCTGTTATTTTACTAAAATATTCATAAAAAATTGATTACATATTCCAATAAAACTTAAATAGTTAGGTAAGCAGTTGTTAGGTTATATCTATACATTGTTATAATTATAAAGTTTACCTCATTATTTCCTTTGAAGAACATGGTGATTGATTGTCATCATATAAAAAAAAGGCAAATTCTACAGCTTCTTGATAGTGACTTTAATATAAATATCAATACATCATATTAAATCAATAATTATACTACCTACTGCATGATTATATTTAATTATTTATGAGTATATTAATTAAATTATCAGTTAATACAAATGTAAATCGCTACCTATAAATTATTAAAATTGTAAAGTTAACCTCATTGTCAACACCTAAGAAAGTATGTTCCATAACAGATCCTACACTACAGCCTCTGGATTGTGACTTGAAAAAATAAGAAAATATTTTACTGAATAATAATAACCTATAATACCTACTACATAAGTGTGTTTAATTATTTATAAGTATATTATTTGGAACGTATGCAGTTTAGCTCTCAAGCGAATGGATTTTTACATACTCAATTAAAAAATGTATGGTTTTCTAGCGGCGTTCTTACGCTGAGACTCTAGATTATGTATTTTATATACGACTGGTTTCTCTGCTCGCGTTTGAAGTGTCATCAAATAATACATTTTTGTTTTCCTCAACAGAGGACGAAGCATTGATTGCTATTGTAGAAAGGAACAAAGTTATTTTTGATAGTGTCCAATAAAAATCACAAAGATATTTTATTTTTTGAGAAATATATCTAAAAAAGTAGGAAGATCCAGTATGCATTAAATTTCTTGTGTGTGGAAATTATATCCTGTTTCATAAAAGAACATACCACTTTCACGACCATTTTTTGTTCAGAGACATGTTAGGCATGTCATTTTTTAAAACTAGTCGCAAAAGCAATATGTCCTCTTTTGAAACAGAGTATATGTGTGGAATAGAATCTCATCGCAGTGGTTATGATTTAATTTTATAAAATTAAATCCAAAGTGTGTAAAGTAACAAATTCTGACACTACAGAGAAAAGGATCGAGTCTTGGAAACTGACCACCGCCTTTGGTTGTGTCTGGATGCTGCAGGTCAACCTAACATTAACGCATTTCCGGTGTTGCATGCATGCGGGATGGAAGGATTATACGGTTTTTAGGTTTTAGAATAATGACACTGTATTCCCAATGAATAACTGTAAATTTGCAACTATCTACTATTATTCACATGGCTTGACATTCTTCATCCCTCCCTCAAAGAATTAAATAATACTTTTAATTTGTATAAAGAAAATATGATTTTTTTTCATTTTTTGTTTATACATTTTGAACTTACGATTAATGAATGAGTTCATTTAAACTTGTTCATTCTGAGGTCTAAGAATACCAACATTTTTTTTATGGTGCCGCACAAATAATTTTTGTTGTCTTTTTATTATTGTAGGTACTTATATCTAATGTATGTTTCCTCAAACATACTTAATAATTTACAGTTTTGAATTACCTACTATGTATTGATTTTGTTGGAATTTTCTTTAATAGTAATAAAACTTGAAAATAATTTATTATACAAGTATCTTTATAAATATGTAGGTACATATAAGAAAATAAACTGATCTTGTATAATATTTGTTACACAATTTATTGTTTTACTATTATTTTTTTAGATAAATTAAGACCACATTGAAAATGAGTGATCAGAGGATGCTTTATGAACCCGGTACTTTAGTTTGGATGAAAGTGTTCAATCGTGTATGGTGGCCAGGAAAAGTTGTTGATCCCATGACTGCACCAAAAGAACTGCAATATTCTCCTAATAGTAAGAAGAGTATTATTGCTATGGTGCATTTTGAAAGGGATGATGTATAGTAAGTTTAAATTAGAATAAAATTGTATTTTTAATATTTATATGGGCATTATAACATTTGGATAATATAACATTAGCCATTACATTACCTAAGGCCTTTTGAATGATGTCAATAAACATATAAAACTAAATTAATAGTTCAGTAGATTAGATCTATGAAATACATGGTTTTATAACCTATTGTATTTTGTATTTATTATTTTAAGTTGCATTTCCATGTATTTCAAATTTCATAACATGTTAAATTTTTATCATAAAATCAGTATAATAATAATCAAATATTTGTATGCTACTATATACTTAGGTTAATAGTGCCTATACATGGTGTCCCACAAAGATATTACCTGTTGTAATATTTCCAGATATAATAAATATAATCAAATTCTGTATTTTTTAATTACTCATTGGGATATAGACTATAAATATTTATACTGCAATTCATTTTTTATGTTATGGTAAAAAAACTAAAAAAAATAACTTTATTTTATTATTTTTGATCAATTTGAGTATAGCCATTTTATAGAGATTATTCTAAATGATTATTATTATTACAACTAATTGACTGTACACTTCTTTTCTCTGAACTTTTAAAAAATATTAAAAATCAAAATTTTCAAAAGAAATAAATTATATTAATTTCTATTTTCAAATTATCCAAAAATAATAAAATAAATTTTTTTTAGTTATCTTTATTATCTCTGGAGATACTACAATTGGTATAACCTGTATAGAAGACATATAAAAATGTTTGTTGTTATTTAAAATCACTCCTGGTGTATTGGGTAATGCTAAAATTATGTGGTTACAAATAAATATTTAAACACTATCCAAAATTAATGGCTAATGATCATTCAAATGTTGACATTACTTTAAAAATATCCATATAAGTAATTATGTTTTATTGTATTAATAGTGATGTTGTTATTAACTCAGACAAGGTGGCCTTATATTCTTGTTCAAAAAAGATGGAGTTTTTGGAAAAAGGATACTGTAAGTATTTTAATGTCAACGATGTACTGATGATGTTACTATTGATTTAAATGAATTGTATTTGTTACAGCATTGTACTTAAAACAAAAACGAAGCTCAAATAATAAAAATGCCTATATGACGCACTTTGTAGAAGATGTTTTACAATTTGAAAAGGAAATAAATGGTGATATTAATATTTTTAAAAATTTTGAAGAAAATGAAGGTGAACATGCAACACCTTCTATAGAACCTTTAAATGACCATTGTGATTCATCTAAACAAATTAAAAAAAAGGACACTATTAAAAAGTCTCAAGAAATGTTAAATAAACCTGGTACCTCAGCAGTTCCAAAAAAGTCTGTTATGCAATTTCCTGTTCCTGTTCCATATTCACAGCTTAGTAGTATTAGGTTTCCCAAAGTAAAGAGAGTTATTAAAAGAAAGCCAAAAGCAAGTTCAAAGAAGAAATCTGGTCCAATATATCAAGTTCGTAAATTACCTGCTTCACCACCAAGTTGTTATGGTCAATATTTTACTTGTCATTTAAAAAAGGAATGCAAATTTACAACAAATCGGTATGTGGTACTTAAACGTCATCTAGCTTTGTGTAAGACAACTGTGGAAGATGAAACTAAAAATGAATTTAATACACAAACATCAATTAAAAGAAAAAGTACAACAAACCAAAAAGACCCTAAAAAATTAAAAGTGTCTGATGAACTTTTGGAAAACTGCGATGGTAGAAAATATCGAGACTATAATTCTTCAAATGACCCAGAACCAGGTTCCACAGTCTTTACTGAAAATAAGAAGGAGAATGAAATTCAAAAAAGTGATGAGAATGCTACTGAAAATATGAACGCTTTTGAAAATTCAGGAACAATTGAAAACATAGATATTCAAAAGGAACATTTCAATCATGATGCATCAAACAAAAATGACACTAAAAAATTAAAAATTCAAGATAAACTTTTGGAAGACAGTGATTATGAAGAACATGAAGACAATAATTCTTCAAATAATGACACAGAACCAGGGTCCACCATATATCTTGAAAATAATGAGGAAAATTTGAATATAGTTTGTGATGAAAATGCTACTGAAAATATGGATAATTTTGAAAACACAGAAACTTTTCAAGAAGACTGTGGTCCTGGATTGTCTAAAGTAAATTCAATGAAATCCGGTCCTTCAACAGTTCCAATAAACCCTGTTCGAAAATTGGCTGTACTTGAGAAACCAAAAAGTTGTTTTGGTGATTATTTTACTTGTCAATTAAAAGCGGAATGCAATTTTAGAACAAAACGGTATGAGATTCTTAAACGTCATATGGCTGTTTGTAAGACAGCTGTGGGATATGAAACTCAAAATGAATATAATACACAAACATCAAACAAAAAAAAGAATTCAACAAATCAAAGCCCCACTAAACAAGTAATAATGTTTGATGAACTTTTGGAAGAATGGAATGATGACAATTGTAAAAAAAATCGTCATAATTTTCACAAAAAACAAGGTTCAACCATATTTACTGAAAACAAAAAGAAGAAATTGATAGTTATTGATTTGGATGATGAAATTAAAAAAAATGATGAGAATGCTATTAAAAATTTGGACATTTTGGAAAATTCAGAAACTATTGAAAATGTTGATATTCAAAGAGAAGATTTTAATCATGGTAATAGTTCTGGTGATCCAAATATTATTGAAAAATTGATGGAAGAACTTGTAAGTATAGTTGAACAAGATTTAAATTCCGATTGGGGAATTGCTGATTCTGAAACCAATGATAATTAACCAAAAAAAATTTAAATCATAGTATTTATTATATCTGAAAATTATTATTTTTTTTTTTTTTATTCAATTATAATTAAAAAGTTGTACAAAATATGCTTGGTTTTGGTTCACAGCAATTAATTAAACCTTTATTTGAGACATCAAGGAATAGATACTGATCATAGTCTAAATCTAAACAAATCTTGTTCTAAGAGAAATACTTGTTATTTATGATCACATATTTAATTTTGAAATATCTAGTAAATAAATACAAACTAGAGTATCATTTGTAAATAATATAGTAAAATACACTGATAATTGTGTATCCCAATGATAAAATGACTCAATAAGTGGTAATGGAATTATAGACAAAGAGGAATGCTGTTACCTTGATCTATTGTCAGTAAATAAATGGCTTTAAAATTAGTCTATATAGATTATGCAAAATATGTAGACAGAAGATTATATAAATGTTATTAAATTATACTTATTCAAAATTAAATAAATTTATTTATGTCGGTTTATATTTATATAATATTTACTATTAATTTGTGTGCAAAATCTTTTACATTAGGATACAAATATTATTCTATTAAGTTTAAACTAGGTTAAAAAAAAAAATAATAATAAAAATTACATACTTATTATATCATGATGTTATCAAAAAACTAATTTAATTGTATAATTTACTTTGTAATATATTTGTAGATAATGATTACATCTATAAACTATTAGGAGTGCTAGTATTAAATTAGAATTAATCAATTTTCAATATTATCTATGACTACCCAAACTAGAGTTTGGTTAATCATAATATCTGCATATTTACAAGCTATGAATATTAATGTCATTAAACTTATTTGTTACATTTTTAACTTCTTTGCTAAAGTTAAGTTAACTAACCTAAATTGTATTACTAATTTTTGTTATATTTACTTGCTATCAATAAAGATTATAATTAGAAAACAGTATATTTTTTTTTTTGCACTGACATTCAACATGTATTTAAATAAAAATATAAACCTCAGGTCATTGATATTACAAAGTATCATTAGTATCCATTTTATGTGTCCATATGTAATAAGTTTATTAACTAATAATTTTTGGTATTAAATAAGTAAATAGCTGCTTTAAAAATACATTGATTGAACTATTAAATTGAGTGAACAGGATACATTATTATTTATTTTTAAAAAAAATAGTACCTCACTGAGTGTTTTCATGTGGAGGCCCAGGGCTTATTATATAAACACCAGTATAATTATTAATGATATATATAATGCTTAAAAATTATGAATTGTATTATATAAAGAGAACAAAAATATGTACTTGATGATTAATAAAACTAAATATAAAAAAAAAAAAATGATTATTTATAAACTTAAACTAGTAAAAATTAAATATAAATCACAGTACACAGAAAAGGTATTTTATAATAATAAATTCAGAAAGAATCTATTTTGTTAAGTCTTTTAAACCCACTTAGTATTAATGTGTGTATGTGTTTTGATATTAAATTTAAAATCTTACTACCAATCAAACTTTATTGTTTTTGTGAGTTTATTATCTTGAAACTCTCATAATATAAATATTTTATATAATTTTATGCATAATTATTTTAATTGTTCATTCTATTTCATATTTGAGCACATTTCTACACCTAAATATGTAATGTTATTTATGTTTATTTTTTTGCATTGGTAATTTATATGAAGCATTAAAGTATCATCATGAAGTATAATATTGATATTATTGTATTAAGCCAGTGCCCTATAATTTTTAAATCTCAAATTAATTTGTCATCAGTATAGCAAACTTAAGTAAGTTATTAATGTCATTTAGCTGTATATTGAACAAAATAGGTGAAATTGTTGTTCCTTTAAGTATTTCCTTTTACATTTAATCTTATTACAGCTATGGTTGCTCATGGTTTAATTATTTTAGTTTTAGATGAAAACGGAATTTCTTTTGAAGGAGATATTTGTATAGTGTTTAGTATTTCTATAAACATATTAATAGCATTATCAACTTCCATATTAACCTTAGTCCTGCTCTTTGATTAAGCCAGTCAGTAGAAATATTTTTCAAGTTAAGGATTATTGGGTATTGATCAGTAATATTTGAATGTGGTACAATTGGGAATACATTTTTCAAGAATTTCGTTTTTATAAATATATGGTTAAATAAATATACATTTTTAATTAAAGATGTAAAACCTTATTCCATCATGAGTAATAGATAATCTAACCAAGTATTATTTTGAAATTCGCCACTTTTGTTATAGATTTGCCAAGAATTAAATTATTTGTTTCATTTAAAGCCTTATCTAAATCTGTATTGTTTTTTGATCTATAGCATAAACTAAACAAACTACATTTTTCATCTTGAACGTTATTTATAGAGCTGTTAGTATGCTTGTTTAGTTCAATAACTGAAATTCCTATTAATGTATCTTTTAAGTAGATAATCACTCCCATCATTTTGGTTTTTATTAAATTTAATTATTAACATTGAGTATCCATTTATTTTTAAATTATTGATTGATACATACATGTGCTAATCTTAACCTAGCTTCCATTAAAATAATTACCTCAAATGGTGTATTGATGCAGTCTAATATAATGCATAGTTCATCAAAATACTTTTTGATACTACATACCTTTAACATAAAAATGCTTAGAGTATTTTGAGTGTAAATTATGAAACTTAATTCATCACATGAACATTCAGTGGCACTAACTGATAATATGAAGTACTAAAATGTAATCTGCTGTATTGTTTGTTTGGAGCATAAAGATAGTGATGTGATTAATTATAGTGTCCCATCCCCCAAATATGTAACAGTACAAATAATCTAAATAATATGGTGTATCTTGATAAGTAAAATTATGACAGTTTAATAATGCTGGTTTATTGTCACTTCCTTGTGTAAATATAATTAGAAAATAAAAAATTAGGTTTTGGGCAAGACAATAATATTTTGAATAATGTGAGTATTTATTTAAAAATGTAAAATAGATATAATCATAAATAAATTTAAATAATTTATTTAAAAAATAAGTTTAAATTAATAAAGTTTTATATTAAGTTATGAATTATCTATTCATTGATAACGTGAATTATTTTCTCAATTAGAGAAAATGGTTGGAAAGTATAATACAGTAAAGTATATAACACCTAATATAAGTAATTGTAAACTGTACAATTTAAAACTATTGGTCATATAAGATTTATACAGTATTTATTTTTGCTGTAATTGAACAGAAATGATCAGGTAAAATATATATCAACTGAATTTAATCATCATTTTATACATCTAGATTCATGACTAGCCATCCAAAAAATCAAACAAAAACTTGATACAGTTAAGCTCCCAAGAGACTTGAGAAATTTTTTTCCAATTGTGTGTTTTTGCATGTTTAATTTTATGATACTTTCAAAAAAGTCCCTCAAACTTCATTTGAAAGCAAAGGTCAATAAACTTCAAAATGCTCAATTTCCCTAAAACTCATGTTTTTGAATTTAAAATATTAAAAATTCACATTTTTGAAATTTTTCTTTTTTTAGAAATGGTAATAATTATATGCTTAACATTTTGGTGAAATCAGAATCACTCATCTTACTTACTTTTTATATTATTATTAATAAACCATGTAAAACCTGATTATAATGTCAATTTAATCATTTGCATATTAAATAATCAAAACTTTTTTTTTGGAGTCTTTTTTTCATTCAGTGTGTAATAACATAAAGAAGCTTTTGTTGAAATTAGAACTAACTAATATATTTTTGATATTTATAAACTATATGAGCGAAAACGCCAAGGGGCTATTTCTTTGACAGTAATTTAAAAACTGCAGTCTTGGATACTAATTACCAAACATAACAAATTAAAATGCATTGACAGATATGTATGGAGATGTCAAGATTATATCAAGAATTCACATAGGAAAAAGTAAATTTTAAAACTCCCTTTAGGTTTTTTTTTTAAAAATTCTTTTGGCCTCAGTAAGTAAATACAAATAAAATAATATTAAATGAACTATATTTTCCAAAGATAAAATTTGATGTTTATGTATCCATAAGAAAAAATACATTTTCCACTTTTTCTTTCCAACCAAAAAATATGAGTTTAGTTTTCACCAAAAACTTCTTTATGTGATTACACATTGAATGAAAAAAAAAAGTACAAAAATCAATTTTGAATTACTGTAATATGCAAATATCAGATTTCCTTTCAGAAAAGGTTCTACACATAAAAATCAGAGCAAGATTTCTGGTAGAAAAGTTGGGCACAGATAAAAAAAAAAATCTTGGTAAAACTATACGCTTCTTCACTTCATTCAGAATTTACAAACAAAGAACTTTAAAAACACCCACAATTAAGAATACAGTATAATGAATATACATAAATGTTACTCCTACTAAAAAAGAATAATTTAAAACTTCTTAAACAGCAAAAAAATATCTGCTAACAGACATAAAAAAAAAAAATTGTATTCTCACACACTATTTTGTAATTGAATCCATTCGATCTGTCAAATATATATGTAAAAAAAAAATATTTCTTAATATAGTGGTGGATAATAATAAATCACTAGATAATAACCATGGCTAGGACCAATATTCAATAAAAAATAATGAAATATGCATATAATTTATTTATCAGCTCATGCATTTAATCTACAAAAATATAGCGAGATATATACAAAATTACTTCATAAATGTTAAATTACACAATTATCCAATTTTTATAGCCAGTTAATAACTCTATTGGCAATAAAATTAAATGATGATTTTGAATTTAGTTTACTAAATCTACATTAAAAAATTATAATAATGACATATATTAAGGTATAATTTGATTTGAAATATGAAAATATCGAATAATTTTTTCTAAAATATTTATAACTATTATATGTATATAATATAGTATGTAATATATAAATATTACTGTGAAATTATAAATATAATTATATTCAAAATAATATAATAGTTGACAATTTGTACCTATAGGCTTA